ATTTTCACCGCTCTTGTAATTTTGTATTTCATGTATTTATGCGTTTTTAATAAACTTCTATTATAATCATGTATTGATGTTTCAGACTGTCTTTTCCTTCGTATAATTATTCTATCAAATTGACGAACATAGCTCAGGAGTTGTAGTGAAAATTCTACCCGTTGACATAAATGGAATGTAATCCTAAGTCTATTTTCATAATGGCCATTATATACAAATTCTTTTAAACAGTCTGTATTGAACCTTAAAAACCAACAAGATCTCATACATTATATCATTTTAATTTTTTAAAGCTATTTCTGGTGTTCTGTCACAATTTCCAATAAGTTACACATTGGTCATTTTCTGAGTCAGCTTTGGTTTCTTTTGCGTTTTGGTAATTAGCACTGTTCTAGTGAATTAGTATTTCGTATGGAAGTAAAAATATATTTTGTTTACAATTTGCTACGCTTAACACAACTTAATTTACATTTAAGATTATTTTATGAGCTTCTCTCAAAAATAAAAGAATGAATTAAACTAAAAACAAAAATAAAATTAGTAAATCAATAAAATAAATAAACAAATGAAAACCCTTTTACGAAATGTATACACACATCAAGTGATTTATTTTTAATGAGTGTATCATTTATGAGAATAAAAAACGTTTAATTTCAATCGTATAAAACATGTTTCTTTCTTTGCTCTATGCTCTGTGCATTCTGCTTTTTGAATATGACTTTCCCTGAGATTTTACTTATGTTCGCTTAGACTTAAAACTGTCTTAAAAAATCTCCGAAACTACAGTGCCAACAACAGGAAAAAATATCATGTAACATCACCTTATGATCTATGTGTAAATTATGAATTATTTGATCAGGGTTAAAATCACTTAGTTTATATGGACTCATATGTATATAGCTATATGAGTCTTATTGCGTGAAACATTTCTGAGTTCCTAGATATTTGGCATGTTTCTTTGGAAGCGAACCATTACAAATTGTTCAAAAATCATAACTGTATGTGGTGATAAAAATGATACTCCTAATATGATCTTATCTTATTTTGTATTAAAGAATATGGCAATTTTCCTGGAGTGGATCTTGGGTAAGTGATCTCGGGTAGTTTAATGATGACAGGGAAATTTGAATAATTTTTGACCGACAGTTTGTTAATATTTCAAATCATCAGCAACTTTATGTCGGTCCAGCGATACTATTGATATACCTATTTCACTACACTCAGATCATATGATCTATCTGTCGCCTTAGGTTTACTTTGTATCTTTTGAAAATCCATATCTTGATATTTCATTCTATGAGCATTATATTATTATACTTGTTTACAATGATATGAAAGTAGATGTAACTGAATCATACTGATACAAGCCTTCAGTTAGAGTATGTTAACTAATGCAAAATTCATTTTTCTCATTGTGTTAGCTTGAAAGCAATGATATGAATTCATAGAAAGTTTAACAAAAAAGAAAGAAATGAACTTAACTTACACATGTCGTTGTTGTTGTTTTTCAATTGTCTAATTAATTTACCAAACCCACTTTGATAAAATATAAAACCTACAGATTTTATGTTTTTGTGACATTTTTACAATATCAAATACACTATAAGAAATTAAGTTACATTTTGAATTCTATACATAGACCTATTAGATATCCATGTTAGAGAAATATGGAAATATGATATTGGTACTTTCCTTTAATATTTTTTTAATTAAGATATTTTTGAAAAGAACATTGTGGTTTACATATAATTGGATAATTTGTGATATGTTTAAACACTTTTTTATCGAACAATGCATAATTTGTGCTAATCATACTACGAAAGAGATATATCGTTTGTTTACATTTGAATTTGATGTAAAGGAATATTTTATACATACGTTAGTTTAAGTTTCAGGTCTGTACATAAATTTCTCTAATTGGGCTTTTATGTACGTTTACTATATATATTTTTAATGCACTTCTTGAATATGTTGCGCTTTAAGACTTTGCACAATTGGACTAGCTGCGCTTTTTGGACTTGCTTCATTACCTTGACTTCCTACATTTTAGGAATGTCTGCGTTTTTTTCTGCTTTTGACTTGACTTGCTGCCATACAGTACTTGCTGCGCTTTTATACTTCCTTCTCATACGACAATTGTCTGCACTACTGGACTTGCAGCACTGCTGGACTTGCTGTGTGTCTTAGACTTGCTTTGATACTGGGAAAGCAGACCTTCTCTAAGACTTGTTTTGTTAAGGGAAACATACATTTTCTTAGAATTGCTTTGTTACAGGAAAACAGACCTCTTCTAAGACTTGCTTTGTTACAGGAAACGAATCTCTTTTGAAACCTGCTTTTACTGGAACTCTTTTAAGTAATTACTCTTCCAATAAGAAGCAGACTTCATTTTAGAACTTCTTCCTTACTGCCTGGCTGAAGAGAAGACCTGTTTAAAAATAGTATTAAATGTATTAATTTAGGGAAAATGTTTCTGCGGCGAAATTAACGATATGTCTGAGGCCTACGGCAGTTTAATGCATATTATTCATCATATGTCAGTATATTGGAAGTATTTGTAATCTGGTAAAGTTTCAATTACAGTTATCGTAATATAATTATGCATGGTCTAAAAACAGTGTCAATATTAGTTAATTTTTTATAACCTTTCAGTTACTAGTTCTTGTATGTTCAAAAGGTAAGCATAGAAAGTGTTTTTTCCTATCGGAGACATTTTGATTGAACCATCATAAGTGTTGGGAAAGAACTTAATATAGTCTAAACTATTCTAAATAGTTAACACATCTTAAAGTCATAATCGATTAATGCATGATACGAAAGCTATGAGCACACCAATGTTTTGCTTTAAACTCAACAAATACTCAAAACAAACCTGCTGATTTTCGGCAAAGTAAATTTCTGCCTATACATACAAAATGTTGTGTGATGTCTATGTCAATAAAGTCATTTAGTAATTACTAATTTTAGTAGGTAGTCCTTGAATATATAATTGAATATAGATTAATTTAACTGATTATTTTGTTCAATAGGAAATTTCCTTTTTCATTCCTAAGCTATTGTACTGTCTTTTTCGCAAGGAATTAGAAGCAATCGATATATGTATGACACGATGGTATCCAGAACATGCTTAACTTATTGTTTTGTTTACGGACATAGTACGCCTTTTATCAGTTTGACTTCCTGTAAAATTAACAGACAAGAAGAAGAAAAAATTTCATTGGTCATTTTAAAATTATAAGATTACAAACTGAAATCCGTGAATCTCATTGGTCATTCTACAATAAATGTCCTGGATAGTTGTAATCAGTCTAAAATAAATGTAAAGGATAGTTCATACTATTCTAAAACAAGATTTTATTGATATCTCTAGAATAATATTTAAGAGATAGTTTTTGCTACTATAGAATAAAGTAGGTTTAACTTTAAAGTTAAGGTAGAACACCCCTAATGCATAACTCGCACTTTGAAGAATATTCAAATAGGATACTGCATTGGAATTGCAAGGGGCGTTGGTTCAAACCAAAAAAGGGGGAAATTTGTTCCTTTCTTTTAAACATTATTTATATATCTCTCAGATTCCTTATAGAAAGAAAAAGGTGTTTGATTTTAAGTATATAATTATTGTAGGCATTTATTTGCTTTATAATGCCAATTTAAGTAGCAAATATTATACCAGATATGTTAAGATTAAAACCGCACGGTTAAAGTGATTTGTATTTTGCAAGATAAACCAATATACTTTAAGAAAAATTTAGGCAAATGTTGAAAACAGCTGCATTTTAGGGATATTTTGAATAGGGCTTTTTACATAGGGAAATAGTCAAATGAATGCTTAAAGTGGGTAATTTGTACCCTGCATGCTTTTATTTGTTTCTTAACAATGAGCAATCGGAAATCATTTTTTATTGATGATTTTATAGATTATTTAGAGTTTCCTCATTCCTGAAAAAGAGACCTTCTCAAAGTTAAGGTTCAGAAACTCATTAACAACAGAAACAATTTTGTTTATCTTTGGTATACAGGTGACCATTTAGGCATATAACTGTCCTTTATTGTCAATATCACAGTTTTTATAGTGCCCATTAGGGGTAGTCTACCTTAATTTGTAAATAATTACAACATTTATAAAGTCAAACATAAGACGAGTAAAAGAGACACCTAAGATAGCAAGTGTCCTACTTTTGAAAATCATCAATATGCTATAATAACTTAATTTCCATGTTTACAAATGGATCTTTTGTTAGCTACAAGAAAAAAATATTATTTCATTGTTATGCAAACATCGCCTACATTTCTTTTCTGTACTGAAAAAATTCAATAACATAATGTTGCATGTTAAAAATTTCTACTTCGACCAATTATCTTTTTAAAGATATTTATCGCTTACAAATATTTGTAAATTTTATATAAAACACCGATTAAGCCGATGCCACGCGGGTCGTCATGTTTCTTGAACTAGCGCCACATGCCTTATAGTGTGGTAAATGGAAACCTGGCCACATTTGCTATAGAATAAGACCAAGTTAGGTCAAGAAGCAGCCTAGAAAAATAATGCTTTGTACCAAAATGAAGTAAAATACGGACAATAGAACAAATGATCTCACCGATTTCATGACACGCACATTAACTATGGCCATGTTTCTTAATCCTGAGCTTTAACTAAAAAAAAAGACCCGAAAGCTAATGCACTGGCTAATTTGCAATAAAATTATTTACGTACTTGATCAGGCACAACGGGCTACAGGAAATGTTCTTTATTTATTTTAAATATTCGTTGGTAGAGTTATTTTGCCGGCAAAACACATTGCCGTCAAAGATGAATGTCTTTAATACTATGGGATCTTGCACAATATTCACGGACGACTCAAGATATTGTGCATTTTTACGGCATTTTTTAGAATATACATGTGATTTCAATCTACAACTGCATTCCAAAATTGTTGTCTGTGTATAAATCTATTTGATACATATTCCGTAAAGAACGACACTAAAAGAACACACATGTATCAGTAGCTTTATTACAATTATTAGAATTCGGATATGTTTCCTTACAATTGAATGCATACACTTATTTATTATTTAAGTTTAGATTTGATGCAAAATAAACACTGGCATTTGCTAAATAATAAAATGCTTTTACGGGTGCTACATGTAGCCTTGTTTCTCATATACAATTTTAATTACAATTTTTTTACAATTGCATTGTAAAATTACTAGTTTTACTGGAATAAAAGTTGATAATAAGTACAAAACATAACTATCAATAAAACGTAAGACTAGGACAAAGCAAATAAACAAGATTTAACAAAGTATCACATGCTATTTTTAAATCGAATTTTCGAATTAAAACTGAAGACTATGTACTATATCGTTCAATTAACATAAAGTAAAACGTTTTGTTTGTAATATGCAACAAAATTTGATACTAATTCATGTTTTCGATTGAATTAGGCATACTAACTTTAACACTTTTCTACCATAAATACAGAACAGAAAAGGTATTTGTACTTGCGTGTAAGGAATTATTATGAATTATTATAAATTAATGTAAAAAAGTACACAATATGCAATTACAACACATACTGAATTAATATATATATATATAAGTATTATCAGTAATTTTTAGAGCATTAATTCATCATTCCAAAGTGCATTCCACATTCTTGCACCGAACCACTTCTCTTTTCTCTTTTTTTCGGCCTCTTTAAAACGTTCAAGTTCTTTTTGTGCTGCTTCTTTTTCAAACCTTTCAATCAAAAAGGCTTCATATTTAGCTTGGTCTACTTTAATTTGTTTTCCACGATCTTCAGCTAACTTCTTGTAATGATCATCTAGATCTTTTTTCTGCTTAGCTAGAGCTTCTTTTTGTGCTTTTTGTTGTTCCTTCATTAATTTGTCTATGTTTTCTTGGTTTCGCCTTTGCTCTTCTGAGGTAGAACAAAAAATATGATTAGCATATGATTCACATGTTTTTCAATATAAACATTTTTGGTATAGAATTACTGCGCACACACAACTAGTTCAAAAATGTATATCCTTTTTCGCATTAGTATAAAAACATGTATAATTGATGAACTTGTCTAGTTTTAAAACATTGACTATTAATGCAGCTGTGTTATAATTTAGAAATTTTAGATTACGCTCGTTTGAACTTTATAAGTAATTATTATACAGTAATTAAATGATCTCCTGAATTTATAGACTATAGTATTGCACTTTTATGTATGTTGTCACTCTTTTAAAGGAATGCCCTATATCAAAAAATATGTTTTATGAAAATAATCTACAAGTCATGATCTGGTAGAGATGTATGTGTAATGTATACACCAAAGTAACTTTTTTGACACTGAATCATTGCAATAAAGTGTCACTCAATGCTTCATGGCAACTGAAAATATAGTTTTATATGTTACTTGCTGTGGTCTTCTTCGTTTACTTATAACTGTCATATTTACTGTAACATATAAATGCATATGGTTTTTTTTCAAAGATCTATTTGAGAGATTTTGAACTCTGTTTTGTTTAAACAAATTGATATCAACATATTTTCAGTTGTTGTTATAACATACCTTCTTTCTCCCTTTTCGCCAAGTTTTCGTCTGCTTCAACTATTCTTACTTCCGATTCTTTTGAACATTTTATAAACCCATACCATGTCCATAAAATCTTTTAAAAGGAATTATAGTTTTTTCATTAATCATATTATATTGTATGTTGCGATATTTGTAAAGTGAATCATTAAATAAACAAAACAATAAATGCAGTCGTTTGACTGAAAAGAAAACGAGATTATTAAACGTCATTGAAGTTGTTTTTTATGTAGAATCACAATATTACTAGTATGTCCTGATAATGTGCCGCTTATAAAATTACAAAAGTAGAATAAAACATATACCGAAACAAACCAACAAATGGTTTATTGAATTACTAATCACAAGAAAATAGTTTCCATAACTGCTCATGCTATTGGAGGAAAGGCACAGTTATATTTAAAAGCTGTATTCACGGATAAAAATTTAAGATGTTTTGACAGGACGTCTTACCAAAATTACTTTTGAATATTTCACCAATTACTGCATTATGTAATAATTGAAATTGGAGATTACAAAATAGAAATACAATATGTACACTCTTTGTGGATAACGAAATATAGAAACAAATTTCAAAACTTTCTAAACCTCTTTTTCCTCGAAGTCGCGGAGATTACTGAAATATCCTTCTTTAAGCAATTCAACATCACGCTGAAATTTCCGATAACCACCTGCTGTCTCATAATCTTTATTTCTTAGTTTTTTGTCAATACTTCTCTTTACAGGGTCGTCTTGCAGTGTATTTTCGCACTTTTGTTGAACCAATATGTCATTTTCCTCTTTCATTGTATTCCAGAGCTCATCCATTTCCCTCTGATAAAATAGACAATTTACCTATTTGTTTTCTAAATATGATTTATCAAGTATCAAGTTAAACTAAACTTACATGGTCAGATGAGTTAAAATACGCTCTTTTAAAATATCAACATATTGTAGAACAAATTTAAACCAAGTAAGCAAGAATGACAAACATATGGCAAAACACATTCGATTTTAAGTTAAAATAGTCACAGATGTGCGTCGTAATAAAAGTTAAGAATATACTTTTCTTGTTTATTGCATGAGCAGGGGACAAACATATAGCGGTGCTATACTTTTTAATCGAGGTGGAATGGTGTGATACGGGATAATGGCGTATTTTAGACTGTAAACACACGTCAAAGTCATTGATTATTAAAATCGCAAATTTTGTGTGGATGATTTGGGGCTCTGACCTAAATGTTTTTCTTCGAAGGTGAATTGGCAGTTACCTATTTTGTGTCCGTGACAAAGTCATAAGATTAAAGCCAATATCGTGTTTGTAAATTGCCATTTCTGCTTACAACTAACGTTGTAATTATTGTTGAAATTAATATTTACACATTGCTGTAAATATTTATGAGTACGATGGGTTTTTGTACAACAAGATATCTACACGCCACAAAAGGTCCGATAATTTGACAAGTTAATAGCTGCTTAAAAAAATATACTGAAATATTTTTACCGGGAGGTGAGGGGGGGGGGGGGCTTACTGATTTATTGCGGCAAATGCCTTGCTTACACTTGCAAGCGCTTACATAAATTCGTCACATTTATTTCAGAAATTATCTTCCCTTTGATCTAAAAATTTCGTGATAAATTTATAGTCAATCTGTAGATATCCTGTTTCAAAAAATGACATCGAATTATATGCAGTTTATCGGAGTGCAAAACAGAAATTTGATTTGGCAATCTTCTATTAGATCATATACAGGTACATGTGTATAGATAAGTAGTGATGTTTTATTTTATCTTAAACATTGTTCATGTCTGACTCTAGAACTTCGTATTAAGTGGTAAAATAGTTATCATAACTGAATTTTATCATTCTTTACTTTTACTTTATGGTTTTACTTTTATAAAGTATTTCATAATCCACGAAAACCTGATGTACGATCACAAGGAAAAGGGAAACAATAAGAAGGGAATTTTGAGGCACTTTGGAAAAAAGGAATCGAAAATCGAAGTGCAATTTGTTAGAATTCATTTGTTAGAATTCGTTACAAGTTGAAACAAGACTAACATTACATTTGTTAGTTTTAGGACAAACCAAAGGCATGTTACTAAGCTCATCAAAAAAGAACTCAATAGATTTAACAATTTATTTCAAACAAACATTTAAAACAAATGTGAACGTGAAGAGTCATAATGTGCACAATGTACACTATCCATTTTGGATATTTTGCGGTTCGAATGTCGAGATACTACAACTCCGATTTATGTTCTTCTTATATATTTTCTTTTTATTTTAATTATATATATGTATGTTGATTCACTCACTATGTACACTTGCTGAATATTTAAATAAGTGTTAAATCTTTTGTTGGTAATCATGTATATGGTTTTCACTATGTATCTGTACCTAATTGAATTTCAGGTTGAAAATGTCCTTCCCTCTTAGTATCATACTACACTCTCACATATATAAGAGCTTATGACTAAACTCAGGTAAAATCCTCGGCAATCAGGGAGAAAATACAGTTGGCCAATATGCACTACCATGTTTTTCCCAATGGATCCTTCTTCGTTAAATAGAGCGTGTAACACACATACCACAATCTTCAGTATGAAGCTGTGTCTAGAGCTAAGCATTCCCCCTCCCCCACACACACACGCACACCACACCTATCTTACTGAAAAAGAAAACGCATGTCGATTTAGATAGTCTTCTTAATTTCACTGTATCAGTACATGGACTTAGAACTGTCCTTCATTATATTCATTTTCAAATGCTACGATAATACGCACAATTTGAGTATGATACAGATAACTGTTCACTAAAGGAAACTGATTTTCACCATACCAGTTACTTATTCCCAGTTCGAGAACAGATATTGATCAGTCGATCATGAAAACGCATCGTAAGGAACCAACACTTTTGCGTGCACTTTCGGACCAGTTATTATGCGTACAGTAAGATATACGGAGATATTGTAGATATATGCAAACTAGATAGCTAAAACTTTTCATGTATTTTGTATTCCTATTTATAGTAAACATGTTGTTGCTTTAACTAATCAAATATCATTTCCTTAACGTTTGTAATTGTATTCCTTTTATCATTATGTCAGATTGCCGGTGACGTTTGAAGTAGCAAACACCTGAATACCTTTCTGCTTAAAATGAAATAAATTCTTAAATTTTGACCATCACATACAAATATATATTCCACTCAGTATGTACTATATTATTCAAACAAAAATTCGAACATACAACACATATTTGAAGACATACAACACATATTTGAAGCACACTGGTTATACCCACATTATTTGTCACATTTCTCCGCCATTTTCAGTTTTGCACCATTTCACCTCGCTTAAAAAAAGTATCGCACCGCTATACGTTCGATCCCTTGATAGGGTTTGAATAAAACACCACACACCAGCTATTTGACGATCGTTAAATGCTGGTGACAGAAACAGAACATAAAATTAAAGAAAAATATCCTTATTACATGTAACAAAGTTCAAAACATTTTGACAAATTTTGTCAGTTTTAATTAATCACTGATTGCTCTTCTTAAAATACCACATTTCATCTTATTTAAAAAAGCTTGCATGAACGACAATTTTCTAGGTAATGTTATATTATTTAGTAAACAATGGTTAACGTTTTCGTATTTAATTATTTGAAGTGAATATTGTTGTTCTCAAACCTGAGTTTGATATTCACAATCAGCTTGTAAATCAGGAACTGTTACAGTGTTCTGCCGAAGATACTCCAGCGCCGCCTGTTGTGCTTTTGTGTATAGGCGTCTGAAAACGTTTCCTGATACTGGTAGAACTACCTTAAGCATTTGACTTGAAAATATTTTTAAAGCCTCTTCTTTTATTCTGGTATTTTTTATTTTTGCTGCAGCAGTAAATGCACCATCAACATCTGCGGCAATGCCTTGTTTAAATGCATTTACATATCGGTCTGCCAATGTAACGAACACTAGAATCATAATAAAAGTACTCATCGTTAGGCAAAGTCTAAATTTAAATTCGATACACCAATAAACAAATTGAACTATCAGGAAACGATGTACAAAGTACAAACGTACACAACTGAAACTATTTCAGCCTATTAATTTATGACAGTGGTGATGTAATTTAACTTCCACGCTAACAAATACTGACCTTTGAAATATAATTCGATTGAAAAATTCAACATCAGCGGATAAATCAATACTCAGGTGATGGTTATCATAAGCAAAGAAGCTTCAAATTGATGCCATTCCATTCCAAGCATGGCCCCAAATAAAAGAACAAGATCGCATTTGCGGAAAAATGCTATGCCTGTGCACGAATACAACATGAAATAGTAGGGAACATGTAGGTTTTTTGTATTTAAATGAAATTTACTATAACGCAGGAGTGTTTGGTAAATAGTTGGATCCAGGTCATATTTCAGTATGTCAAATAAAAGACAATATGCAGCCTGTTTAATGTACATATACAAAGACAAAAGACATAATAAATGTATTTTAGCTAATTTCAGAATTGGTATTAACTATCATCTACATAGCTGTATTAAAAAATGTTGCAGTTTTTTCATTTACACAGTATGATTTTCTGTAAACATAAATAAACATTTAAGATTTCAAATCATCAATCTAAACATGGACATTATGTAAATCATTATGTCTTTATAATGTGCTAAATTCATTTCAAAAATATATCTTCGCATCTCTTGCCGTATGCCATGGCCTTAAAGCAGCACGCCTCCAGATTCCTGCTAATGTTCATGAAAATTTTAAAAATGTATTTAAAAGTAAAATATTGTTAAGATGGCAGAGAAAATAATATGCACTTTTCAAACAGCACTTACAACCAATGTAAATTACAAAAAAGAGGTCAAATTATGCAAAATAAACCTTTATTGCGTTAGTAACGCAGTAGAAAAAATGGTGAAAATTACAGAAGCATGCAGCTTTAAGACTGCAAGCTATTGAACATTTTTTTTTAATTATATAACATGTACAAATGTATACAGAACATTCAAGACACTTCTTGATAAATATCTTAGCTATAACTCTTGTTGTTTTGAAGAAAAACACCAACAACATTTTACTATATACATTATTATTAGGAAAACACATTTCAATATTTCAATTTTGACCGCACCGCAGGATTATGATTTAATAGAGGTCTACCAGATAATGTCTAATTCAAAAATATCGAAGCTCTAAGCCATATGGTTTCTGTCAAAAATATTATTATTGTAATTATTATTTTTTTTTACATATTATTATTCCTTTGTCATGACACACAGATATCGACATGGAATCATTCATTTTTTTAACGACGCATTGTACGCAAGGAACACTTGGCAGGTTTGGTTGAAATAAAAAAGTGTTTTATTATAAGAGTATCTTTTTATCCTCAATCATATTTAAAAAAACAAACACGCGCGCGCTCGAACGCACACACAGTCACACGCACGCACGCACGCACACGCACACGTGCACACACACGCGCACGCACACGCGCACACACACGCACACACACATACACACACACACGTACGCCCAAATGCGCATACACATACAACCACTTACAGTCAAAATCCACATTTTTAGAACAAGCAACATCATATTAGGTTTTTTTTCGTTAACAAACGTTTGGTAACTGTTAAAAAAAACCCAAAAAATCAATGTAAATGTTAAAACTTTTAGCAGTATTTTAATAAAGAACCAAAGTGGCTAAAGTTTTATTGTAAGAAGATAAATTGTTTTCATACTAGTAAATCAAAATCCTTATTCAAGATGGCCAGACTGACCTTGACTTTGAAACATAAATGGCCTTGATCTTCAAGTTTAATGAATAAATTTTGCTTTATTTATTTATTTTTGTTTGCTCTCATTGGCTAGGCATTTGTTATTTATGAATGTATTGTTTTGAAACTAAGTCACATCATTCTTATGGACAATACATTGTTGAATATTAAACTAACTTTGTGATTTAGATGACATTAAATGTGCTTTTATTGCATTCTATACTGTTTTTTTTTTGCTCTGATAAAGCTTTACAATTAGAGGTAAAGCTTTATTATAGGTACATGGCAAATTGTTAATACCTGGTTAAACGTGGCATCAATGCAAAATTACAAATTCATCTGTACGCTTGTGTCAAGTTTCATTACTCTTACAGTTTAAGTTTGACATAATTCTGCGTCTTTTTTCTTTAAAATAATATGAAAATTATACCAGAGTGGCTTTAGCTTAGTTATTTATGAATTCATTGTCTACATGCTTTAACACAACACCTTAAGGATAGACCGTCAGGTTATTGTGACTTACATTGGTCTTTAGTCATAAATGAACTTGACTTGCAATGTAAAGTTATTTATATTTTGTGTACTGTAACTTGTTGTCCTTACCAGTTAAGACATTAACTTAAATTTGAAATATGCAATATCACAATGTGCGATGTGTTTTAAGTTTAATAATTCTGACGTTGCATTATCGTTCAGCTTTATTGTAAGTTCAATTTTAAACAAATTATTGTTTAAGCAACATTATTCGTTTGCTTCCTGATGCATTTAATTGGTGATAAAACTACAAAAAGCTTACTTTCTCCATTGATTGGTGTACTTCCTGACATATCTTTTGGTGGGATAGTATAGATATACGATACAAAGATCTCTGTCGCCTTTTTGAATTTGTCACATAAAGCATCAAAGCTCAAGTGTTGAAGGTTACGAATGGCAGAATCATCACCTGGCGGTGGAAATGCAAAACATGCCCGTGTTGGAAAGTATTTTCTGATGCATTTCCGTTGTTTGTTGAATTTTGCAGCTCTCTTTTTCTTATCAGCTAAACAATCCTCGAGATATTCGTTTGTTGACATCGGCTTTCCATCTTTTACCAACTCTAGACTGCAATCTCGGATACGAAGAACGAATATTGGCAATATCAAATTTAACATTTCGTTATCTTCCGAGGAAATCCCTCGGTACCGAATATAACTCGCCATTTCTGTTACAAATCTTACGACAGTTAAGTTTAGTTACAATATTTTCTTTCATAACTTTTATTTATTCTAAGGTTTGACAAACAAACAAACAAACACTAAATTAATAGGGGATGAGGCGTGTTTGTATATACTTTGATGATTTTGTGAAATAAAAAACACTGTTGTTTCCTTTTACTTATTCCCTCGAAGCTACACTATGGCACATAGGAAAATAAACATTCTGAAGTAATCTTCTGGCCCTCTTTATAAAGTATAAAATATCTTCCTTTAATTACAAATTTATGTCTAGACAAGATACATAATGAAAAACAACTGTTACAATTACTAACAATACTCTAATTCTACTTGGCGGCCTTTTAATAATTACTTTTCGCTAAGAATTTGCCCCTTGACGAAAATAAATAAATAAATACAACTGTTACAGCTACTTAGAACACAGACACTTGGGGTTTGGAGCTCAAAACGCCTTTAAAATCCAAATAAAATGCATATTTGTCAATCCCAGGACATGTACTAATCATATATATCAAAAAATCTTAATATATGCCGTTTTGAAAAAAAATCATATTTCAACATCTATAATAATACACAAGATAAAAATGTTCGCCGGAAAAAATCCGCACCCCTACCGTCATAATCACCATGTATTTTAATCCATTTCCAATATTTTCACAAAATCCTTTGGTCCATCGACACAGAAGATATAATTCTTCACGATGATGGTCAATTTTAAACTTCAACGGTAATATAAACAACGCAACAGCCGAAATAAACATCAATATTCTCGCCGTTTTTTTTTCAACGACAAAAACTTTCGATAAATTCAATGGACCAGACGGCTATGAACGAAGCTATCCGATTATGTGGCCCCAGCTTTGCCGTGTGCAAAATGCGCAGCGCTTTTAAGTTTGGGAACCACATAATCGGATAGCTTCGTTCATAGCAAAATGCAGCATGTGATAAAAAAAATCAGGCTAAAATGCTTTTTTGTCTATTATGCACAAGTACTTGACCTACCAATCAATCCTGTAAAGTTTCACTGAAATTGCAATAGTGGTACGGACAAACTTTCAGAAATAAAAATGATTAAAGGGCTTTAACTCGGACAAAATTCATCTAACCATAAAAAAGCTTATTATATGCACAACTTGACATGGTACTGATCATTCCTGTAAAGTTAGGATGAAATTGCCCAAGTAGTTTATGAGGAGTAGTGGGGACAAGTGTTGTGACAGACGGAAAAACAGACGGACAGATCACAACTAGACTTAGTACTGATCATTCCTGTAAAGTTTGGATAAGATTGCACCAGTAGTTTATGAGGAGTAGTCCGGACAAGCTTTTGGGTATCTCGCAACATACAGAAAAAAACACCTTTTTATCAAAGAGCCATAACTCGGCCAAAAATCATTCAACCAGAAAACCCGTGAAATATGCGCATGAACTTGAGCTACAGATCAATCTTGTAAAGTTTCATTGAAATTGCAGCAGTGGAATAAGAGAAGTAGTCCGGACAAACTTTAAAAATAAAAATTATTAAAGGGCCATAACTCTTACAAAAATCATTGAACCGGAAAATGCTAACACTATGCACAACTATACTTGGTACTGATCATTCCTGTAAAGTTTGGATGAAATTGCACCAGTAGTGTATGAGGAGTAGTCCGGACAAGCTTATTGACGGACGGACAGACTAACGACGGAGAAGTGATCCCTATATGTCGCCACAACCCCGTAGAGGCGACACAAAAACGTCCCTCAGTCTCATGTAAAACAAGTCACGTGCTTTGAATTATGTATGAGCGGTGTTAATTTATTGTATCCTAGAATAACGACATCGTACCGTAACTATTGAATTTGTAAGTGAATACACTTCTTTAAGAAACGACATGATATTGTCCCTATACATAGTTTGACGTTATACCTCTGTTTGTAATCTTGACCTTGGCTAAATGGACATGACCTTAATGTGCAATACTCAGCATCACAGGTGAAGTCAAGTACTAGTAATATTAATATTCCACAATGCATGCAGAGGCTTTACTCCGGACAAACATTTTACAAAATAGATATGAGGGACCTTGACCTTTAAGCTGGAAATCTGGTCCATGAAAAAGGGCACTACTTCTCATGGCAGAAACATTAAAATTCCTACATGCATATTTTAGATAAACTCTGGAAAATATCTGTATATTGTATCATCTTAAATAATCCCCTATGTGTGACCTTGACCTTGGTTGTAGACTCCTTAATCTTCCTAACGTCACAACTTGACCTTTGATCCAGAGACCTTGATTATGCGTGAAGCAATATGTCTTTTGTTGGTGAACGTTTCGTAAAGTAACTTTAAAAATCTTCGATGCATGTAGGAGATATGCTCCAGACAAGATCTGGATATTTTATCATATTTAGTGACATAATTTACGTGGCATATATTTACCAAAACTACATGTGTTGCAACCGTTGTCAGGAAAATGACCACTTGTGCTACAATCCCTCAATATATGCGGACAAAATAGGCCCTATATACATCTTCATATTTTTATTTGAACTTTGACCTCTATGTGTGACATTAACCTTTGTTGCAAGAACCTGAAAGTTGCCAATATATTATGAAATCCCTCTATACCTGTAGATGTTTTGCTCTTGAAAAGCATTTTTAAATGACCTCTAAGTGTGACCTTGACCTTTGACATAGAAACCTGTTTCTGTGCGCAACACGTCTTCTCATAGTGGTGAATATTTCCATGAATTTTCTTTAGAATTCCACTATACAATTTACAATGACCATAAAATAAACGTTTTCATGATTTCTTTAAAACAACTGTAATATGCAAGAAACCTATCGTCACAAAAGATATATTTATCATTCAGGCAACTCACCGTAGGAAACGTGTTACAGTATCACGTTTTCCGGTTGCAGTATAGAATTTTCAAGATGGAGGATTATTTTTTGGAAGAGGGGTAGGTGATTTTTATTCAGGTCCATACTACAAGTAGTTTAATTATCAAAAGATATTTTAGTGCTTTGCTTGTAAGGAACAGATCCTGTATCTAGCCATATATTATTCAGACCTAGAACTGCAGATTTATCTCTATATTGTCTCATAAATATGCAGATTTGACGGTTTGAAAATTTGAATCGAGAGACCAACGCATTTTTCTCCCATTCCAACAATGACCTTGACCTTTGAAGTAGGGGTACAGGTGTTGTGCATGACATATTGTCCTTTCTATGTAACTATTTGTGCCAAGTATTTTCAAAATCCCTTGAACTCTGAAGAGGTTATACGAGATCGGACACAAAATAAATCCCATAACAGACTAAGTTTTTCGTTGACTTCTAAGTGTGACCTTGGAGGTAAGAACACATGTTTTGCGCCTGACATATCATCAGATTAATGTAATTATTTATGCCAAGTATTTTTAAAATCTCTTGATCCATGAAGAAGTTTTGGACGGAACACAAAATATACACAGTAACAGACTATGTTAATTTTTACCTCTAAGTGTGGCCTTGACCTTAGAGGTAGGGATGCAGGTGTTGAGCATGACACATAGTCTTATTATAGTGACTATTTGAGATAAGTTTTTTCAAAATCCTTTGATCTATGAAAATGTTATGGACCGGACACAAAATTTACCCTTTAATAGACTATGTTAATCTTTGACCTCCAAGTGTGACCTTGACCTTAAAGGTAGGTTACTGTTGTTGTGCATGACACATCGTCTCATTACTGTGAACAATTGAAGCAATTATTTACAAAATCCCTTCAAAATTAAGTAAAAGACCGGGCACGACATATACCCTCAAATAGACAATGTTGACGTTGAATGAGCAAGTGCGACCTTTACCCCTGAAGTTAGGGGTCTGGGTGTTGCGCATGACACATTGTCTATTTATAACAAGTATTTATCCCAAGTTATTTCAAATTACTTTGATAAATGACAGTTATGGACCGGACACGAAAGTGTGACGGACGGACGTTCTTACAGGACAGTACTTATGTGGCTACTCTATTGTTCTCTCTATTGTTCTTTTTAGCCACAAAAAGAAAATAGCCACATAAAATCATTACGGAATGAATGACGTCAAAGAGAAAGAAGAGTTACCTATTGTCATTCTAGCCACATAATTACTCTCCTGTGAGTGCGGATGTACGGACAGACGGACGGAGCCTATTTCTATATCCGCCTTTTTCTTCGAAAAGGCGAGGGACAATAATTCCATAAAGAGTTAGTTCGATTTGAAATTTAAAAGCACAACAATTCATAATTGATACGTTTATATTACTTGTTGTTAGCTATTTACATTTGATTTTGACAAATAATTTTGTATGTTTACATTTTAAGTGATATTTTCTTGAAAACTCTCTATTGATAATAAAATATTAAGGATACGTAAGTTTAGAAAGAGCATCGCCATTGAAAGCTGTCTGTATGTTATAAACAAGGCAGTTGCAAAGGAGAGTCGCCAAAGTAAAAATAGTGTTGTCATGATTTTGATCATCCTGAAAGTAAACAATAACATCCTGACCAAACACAAAAAAAGTTTCTAACAAATATCTTATTAAGCGTTTTACTTTTAAGCTATACTATCTAAGTGCTTAAAAATTATTTAATTTAAAAGTTATATTGATCTTTCAGAGCAATTTAATGTTGTATCTTGATGACATCATACTTAGGTACAATGGGTATCATCTACTTACTTCTTATGGAAATAAACATTCCGAAAATATTTCTTCGGGTTTCTTACATTCCTATATTAATTTTATAACAGCGTAACTTTGATATGTGTCTTTAAACTATAACAAAACGTGAAAGAACTGTTCAAAAATGTAAATATTTTGTTTTGCCACTTACCGTCTTACATTCTTAGAGCCTATTAGAAATCAAAAAATGAAAATAGTACAACTGACATGACATTGCCCTTTAAATTGTTGTTTTCAACTAACTCATTTCAATAAATAAAGAACACAATTAAAAATTAGACGTACCTTATCGACATCGCCAAGACCCTCGGTATCAAGAAGCACCAAAACTGTGTTCTTTTGTGTCGGATGCATTTTACACCATACCCAAATACCTTTAGTTTTCGATTGAATTGTATTGCCCAATTCAAAACCACCTAATGTATTGTTACAAAAATATTTAAAGCCTTAAGTTTAAGAGATATTATTTAACCGAAAGGCAAAGTTATAAGCTTTTCTGATAAAAAAAAAATCATAATTACAAAAACTAATTGGATCAAAGCATACTGTTTAGACAGTTTATTGTTGTCCTACTATTAACTTTCACATATAATAGTTCGTTCACAAATACAGTGGATATTTGTTTCTTCTGCTTGTAAGATATGATAGATGTTGTTCACGAGTGAAATAAATGGCAATCGTGCATGTAAAACAACATATTTTCTATTTATTTCATGTTTTATATGATTTTAGGTAATTTTCTAGGTATTGTAATCCTACGCAATGTGTTCTGCTTCTTGACGTCCTTGCATCATCATGTCACAGTCTCATTTTTGAAATTTATTTCTGTATCATTTCTTAAATTTTGTCAAATTTTAACACATGTATGCATCATTAACTGGCATCTCCTAAAGAAGCAATATTAGAAATGACAGAATTTATTACAGTTGATAATTACATTCAGTTATTGACTATTATTCTCATCGGCATTCAAATATAGCCCGGCTACGCTGAAAATTATCAAGTATTATTTTACTTCATAACATGATAAAAAAGTATTATATATTACCTTTAGTAGACTTTGCTAAACGATTCATCAAATAAGATTTGCCACTTCTGTATAGACCTACCACGGCTACAACAACCAATGGCAAATCAATCTGTTTTATTTGTTCAAATACTTCATTTTCGCTTTTTAAAATTATTTTTTCTTCTTTGCCGTCTTCACTTTGTACACTTTCGGTACTGATCAAAGGCAAAGGGTGTTTAAATACCTCAAGATTATCTGGAGACCATTTGCTGTGAATAGACGTATCAAAACAATTTAATCAATAAAATAAGTAAATGACATAAAACAAAAATAAAGTTGAACATTGAGAAATAATTTTTAAAAGTCTATAAGACTTTAATAGCTGATAGAGCTGATAGAGAAAAATTGAAGCGGAACTGTTTATCACAATGAAAACTGTTTATATTATAGTGTTTTCAAAATTAAACAAATCAATTGATGCAGTAATTTACAACAATCGTGTTGATTTATATTCATTGATAAATTGAAGAAGAAAGAAACAATTATGATTGATGTTCTTGTATAATAACTCTGACTGACATACCGGCCCTTTCTAGACGATATCTCTGTCACTTGTTCGCATAATTCCCGTTCAAAATTGTTTTCCAGTACATGGAATCTGAATTTGTAAAAAAATATTCAAATTTGATAATTTTGATAATGGTGTACAGAAATTGAGTTGCTTTGAAACAATGGTTATTCTAATTACTAGTATTCGACTTTTTCCATTTTATGAAAAACATGTAAAAACAATCCATATCGCTTCAAATTGTTCGACTATAAAGTGTGTATATTCTTTCTCTAATCAATCTACTTGGATTCTTTCTTGGTAAGCTTATTAAATTGTACTTTGTACTATTTTCCTGTTGATAATTGTTTTCATTCAAATATTCTTAGTCTTCTAATTGCCACAGTAAAGAACTTTAAAATGCTAAAATATTTGGGTTGTATTTGCATTTTATACCTGTATGCAAATTAAGATATACAATGTACATATTTTACTGCTCGGTCTTTGACGTATGCTGGGAACTTTTAACAATTTCTAATATTATCCAATTATTACAAATAGTTTTTGATATTTTTTAAGAAACAAATAAAAACATTTAGTTTACAAACCATACACAATCAAACTTGTCGCTTCCAAGATATTTGAAATATGAATGAAATTTTACCCCGCCATACCCATTTTGACTACCCTGATTAAAGAATTTCTTTTTTAAACTGTGACTATCGAATTTTAAGACTTGATGAGATCCACTACATTGAATGAATGGCAAATGTTTTCAAGGTATGGCAAACGAATATTTACTGACCCTGTCAAATACCAACTACATTTATCGTGTAGTAAGATTTTGAAACTGAATATTACCAGGTATCATACTCGTATGTGGTAATAAACAAAGAATTGTTAAGGTGATATTGTTGCCAATTATTACTAAAATACCTAAAATGAGATTTTTTGCTTAGTGCTTTAATCATCCTTTTCTGAACACATTCGTGATTTAATTTTAGAAGCTGTTATTTCAGAAACTATGTTTTTAAACGTTTTAATACGGCACCTATACCATTATTATCTGCCATGCGCGTAACCTGCCAATTATCGATCAACACCCGCCCCCTGTTTATCAATGAGGGAAATTCCATATTTCTGTGTATTACCGGTTTATTTGTTTTAGTCGATACTACTTGTTATACATGATTGTATCATACAAATCCTGCACATTTGTATGAATAATAAAACATTGTATAGTTTACCAATCATTCAGATTTCTTTTTTATAAATAAAGAAATTGTCGGCCAAGATGTAACATAAATAATCAAACATAGCGGCCAATCGCACGGCCATGGGGAAGGTGAAAACAATGAAGCTGCCGATAATATCCATAATGTGTGAAATAATAATTTCTGATAGACATTGCATTGAGTCTTTGGACTTTTGTACGGATTCAAGAACTTGCTGTACATTCAACCTTGTTTTCTTACAATGGCAAAAGAAACAGACAACATTTTTTACAGTGAACGTCTATATGACTGGTGGTCAGGTGTCCCTGACAAATTTCTAAAAAGTTTTTACTTTAAAGTTACATTAAATTAATTTCATAAAAAACTAAATAGCGACATTTCATTAATAAATTGGGTTTTATATCGACTCCAGGTCTTATTTTGGTGTCCAAACAACCAAAATGAGTTTTATTAGCATAAAAATAGGTAACCTCATTGTGGCGAAATGGGAAATACAATTTCTGTTTTCATGAGAAACTCCGCCTTCGGATCATCCGTACATCAATATTAAATCAACAATCATGAAGTAGCAGTCCTAATTTAACCGTATATTTCCGCATTGTAACGGATGTTTTCATACAAATTTAATCTTTTGACGAGATTATTACTTTTACTGAACCCCAGGTTTAGTGCACCGTGAAGCTTAAACGGTTAAAGTGTGTTTGCACAAGAAAATATCACATTTGCTGTGTTCGGATAGCAACTATAAAACTGTGACATAGCGCATACACGAGCTCAATATAGTCTTCATTTGCATGTTATAATTCGTATACGAACTTTAGTGGTACCGTGGGGTTTCCCGTTTAAAATCCTTATTTATGAACAATATTGTATGAGGTTGACAACAATACTATTAAACAGGTAAATGAAACTGTAGAATGTTTGATTTTTAGGCCGACGGCAAAATATTTTTACATATTTATTTAAGTAACTTTAATATGCGGATATGTTACCGCGTCTTGTGACCACCTTTGGCGCGATATTTGTGTGTTATGCAATCATTAAGTGTTAAATGTAAAATTGTAAGAGCGAACAGCCGAATTGTGACAATTTGTTCGATGAGGGTAGGGTAACTTTGTATCGGCATAACTTTTTTCATAGTCAAGCAATTTAAATGCAGTTTATAGCACATAAAAAAGGAATTTATGGACGGAGGGAATCTTGTCAGAGAGGGAACTTTGTCAGAGATTTGTGTTTCCTCAATCAGCGACTTAATTATCTTAATTATGTAATATGTATGGTGAAAATAGTTGCATTTATAAATATTTGACGTTACGTTACATTTGTTTGACGGTTCCCAAGATATCATAATTATTTTCATATATTATTTTATAATTTAAATGTGTAATTGTTTATATGTCTTGCCAAAATTTGGTAACCAAATATTATATTTTTGTACGTCATTAACCTGCCAAAATAAAACGATTTAGTCCTTCTCAAATCAAATCTGCAAACATCAATATTTAGCTTCTCAGAAATAGATATTCTTCCTTTATTATATACTTTGTATACCGTCCGAGTCATGACAGATTCAATCACATTGTTTCATCAAATGATATGCAGTTTATTACAACAAATGTGGATTGTCAGTGAGTCCTGCGCTCATCTCGCTACAGTTTTATATCGTGAATATTAAAATATTTATTAATAAATGCTTTAATTGATTAAAACGTTGACACCTTCTATTGCCGGTCATTGCAACGGCGTATATCTTTATATGATATTTTGAGGACATTTTGTACTTTATTACTTTATTGGGGTTTTCTTATTATTTTAGAAGTTTTCCCTTTTTTGAATTGTATTGACAAACAATATGCAATGGAGCATTTAATGAGACGCACAATTATCATAATTTCATATTGAATATGATACTTTTCTGACCAAACGAATGACAAATATTTCACACGTACAAGGATTGATCAAAACGTTCTCGGCTCGATGTACTTCCGGTAGTCAGAGAACTCAAATATGGTTTTCCTTTATAATATAATCGCCCTCTTCATTAATGCACTTTGTCCACCTGTGCTCCAATTTATTTAACCCTTCAAAATAGAACTCTCTATTTTGGTCCTAAAAGTACTCATTGACCGCCTCCATGAAACATTAATTGCTTCCAAATAGTCTACCACGAAGCTTGGCTTATGTTTTGGAAACAGGTTGAAGTCAGAGAGGCCAGGTACGGAGAATATGGGGAATGGGATCGAATTTCAAAGCCGCAATTAGTTACAGCAGCAATTGCAACTTGGGCACATAGTCGTGCATGAGCAAAACGCCTTGAGTCAGTTTGTCCCTCCTTTTACGCGCGATTTCTTAACGCAGACGGCTCAATTCGTCTGCATAGTACGTACCGTTTGTGGTACGACTTTGCTCAAGATAGTCAATCATGATTACCCGCTGACTATCCCAAAACATTGAAGACATTATTTTCCCTACTGATGGTACCCTCTTGAAATTTTTCGGTGGGGGTGAACTAGGGTGCATGCAATGCATGCCCTGTTGTTATTTTTTTCAAATCAAAGTGATGGACCAATGTTTCACCCTGAGTTACGATCCGGTAGATAAAAATCAGGTTCATCCTCGTCGCAAGACAAAAGGTATCTTGATTTGTCAAGCTTGATCTGTTTCTGGTCGTCAGTCAACTGTCTGAGGACAAACCTAGCGAAAGCCTTTGACATGCCATAGACATAAGCCAGAATTGCTTGAACTGAACCAAGCTTATATCCACTTCCCTACCAATGCTTCGCAGGTCTCGCCTTTTGTCGCACATGACCAGATCGTGCACAGCTTCGGCAGTTTCTTCGTGTGTGGCTTCTTTTGGCCGCCCAGGCCGCTCATCATCTTCAATGCCCTCCCTGCCCCTTAAATATTCAGCAGCGCATTTTTCCAAGTTCTAAAGGGGACTCCTTCCCAAAAGTATCCATCAAGTATTAATTGATTTTCTTGGGAGACATCCCTTTCTGGGATGTCTGACAGAGGTACTTAATAACGGCTATGATTTCAACTTTCTCCATTTGGTCTACATGACACACCCATCTTCCGATCAAAGTATTTATATGTAACTTAAACTGTGTAAAACCGTGCGTAACTAGGTCAGTTATCTTCAATAAGTTTAAGATATCGACGCATCGTGTGTTTATGTCAGTGGTTGGAGGTATATCGGGCCGAGAACTTTTTGATCATACATCGTACAGTCTTACATCCAAGAGACAAAAATATTCATTTAACACCTAAACACTTAATCATCCTATTTCTATACACCTCGTTATTAATCTTTCCCCTTCTTCACTACCTTTTTATCTTTTAGTGTTCTTTTTCAAATACAATTCTATTTTGTACTTCACAACAGTAGTTGTCAAGTCTTGTGCGGTAGCTGTAAAAAGTTGCCCGTACTTCACTTCAGTTATATTTTTCTGGTCCTTCGGGATCATTGATGTCAGCACTATTAAGTGATGAGACTTGAGCATCGCTCAAGCCGGTTCTAGGAGGCGTGAGGGATGTTGCACGTATTCATTATCCCTCATGTACATACTTAATCTTTTCGAGTCTGCAATTCTCTTGTAATTTTGTTGTGATTAATGCTTCTGAGCGATCGCTTTGTTTCCAGATTTTTATATTGATATAAATGCTTATTAGAACCAATAATATATTCATTCCTAATGTATTCTATGGAACATAATTATACTGTGTTTCTTGAAGTATTTTAATACATATCAGATTCTGTGTTTTCTTTTTCCTAATATAAACTCATGATTTTTGTTTTGTATAAAATTAGTCTCAGATTATTAAATATGTCATGATTTAAGCGCCTGTTATTTGTCAATTACACACTAAGGAGAAGAATTTCCCATGACACGTTGTCATTTATTTTTATCCTGTTTTTAAAGAATATTTGTTTTGTGTATATTGTAAATTATAACATGTTTATATATTCTGAGAAATAAAATATGTTTAAACTAATATAATACTTTTTTAAAATTTATCTACCTCGATTCATTGGTTGTTGTCGTTCCTTTCTCGGGTTTCTTTGGCGATTTTAGAGACGAATAGCACCTAGAAATATAATTTTAAAATCCATTTCATTCACTTTTTCATGCTTATGTGATTAATTGTATCTGAGATGTGTATATCATATGCATTAAGATGTTCGAGACAAACCTATACTAAACACATATAACATAAACAAAGTATTATAAAACAGAACTGCGACATTTTGTAATACAAAAAAGTTTCTTCAGTCAATGTAAATTAAGTTTTTCATATTTAAAACAGGCAGCCATAAAGCAGTCATATATAATACAATATAGCGTGTAGCATTCTCCTTTTGATAAACATCATTAATGTACTTCAAAAAAGTAAGAAGAATATGAATGATTATGTTGAAGAAAGAATTAATTACACCCAGTTAACAACTTACACAAGTTCGTAATGTAAAGAAAACGTAACTACATGTATATCAAACACATTTTAAAGACAACATTCACACAATGTTTAACTTAAGTGTGTCATTTTACATACAACTAGCATTTGCATGAATGTTCAATAATCGCCAAAGTATATTGATTGATCTTTTGTCATATCAAATACTGTCCTCGTGTAGTGAGACTTTATTAAACTATAAAAGTATCAGGTACAATTTGTGTTGATTCAGCAATTTTAAATAAATAAATAATAAATAAATAAAACATACATTATTTTATCATTTCATTAAGTATAAAGACTTTTTCCTGGCTAAATTAATCTGATGGGTTCATTTTTATTAAGACAACAGAAAGAAAAGAAATAAATAAAGTAATTGGAAATAAAAAATAGAACCCCTAGATTTAGCACACGACCATAAGTATATTTTCAATTGACAGTACATTTGCCAAAGCACAGGAAATTTGCTACAAAGATGCTATTAAGATGAATTGCTGTCATTGATTGTAAAGAAATAGTTTAGATATATTTGACTGCTGAAATGTTATTTAAGGTAGTCTACTTTATTCACTTGTAAACTGTTTCTTTTGTTATTTAAAATACGATATTGACATTAAGTGTTTGATACAATATGTCATATAAATCTAGATACTATAGACTTACTCTAAAACTCCTTTCGTTACAGTTTTATCTAATGTCAAGTTCACGAATTTTGATTTGTCGATTGTATTTGATATTTGTAAGTTGAATAAGTGTCCCGATTATTTCTCTAAATGGTATTTATACAGATGTGTACATGTTTAAATTTATAAAAAAACATGTATGTCACACGAATTTGATGTGTCTGATATATCAATGTCTCGATGACTTTTTCTTGGTCCGTACAGAATAATTTGAGTTCATGCTACCGTATATAAGTCGAAACCCATTCAATACGTTTTACATCACCAGTAGTATGGGCGCCGGTTAAGGGCCACGACTGCGCATGCGCGACGCCATATTGAATTCTATAGTTAGAATGACATTATCGTTCTATTTTTTAGAATATGATAATCCGTCTTTTTTTAGAAATCTCTTTATAATCCCCCGGAAGTATACGGAGCTGACTCGTATACTCGATTAAGGGCTTGAATCGAGGACATTGTAGGTCAGGTCCTTGGCCCTAGACGGAGAGATAATACCATCATTACAGATAAAAGAGAAATGTCTGTAAATAGATACGTGCTTAACATTTTAATTTATAAATTTAAAATTACAAATAGTTTTAAGTATGTTCAAAATAAATAAAATTTATACATTTGTAAAATATAACTTGTTTACTTACCTACATCTAGTAAGGAAATGACTGTAATGGCGTAGCTTCCTTGTAGACTGTGCATGTGCCGATCTATTTTAGTCGCGGTATTTCACAATCAGCAGGAGCTATTTCATCAGCCCCAGGCGGATGTCAATGAAAGAAAGAGCATTGGACATTAAGTACAGTCGCCGCTCACAATGTTCACAATACCTAGCGGGACTATGTACAACAAAACACTTTATCCTTCATTACTAAATATAGCTTTTCATTAATCAAAGTTTGGTCCGCTTATCACAAAAGATTAATAGAATTGACGGCCAATTAATCGTGTTTGATGTCCCCGAAAAGCATTATACGGCCATCCATCAATGTTAGAAAAAGTCATTAAATGGTATTGACAGAGGCGTAAATGGTTTACTTGCGGTATGTTTGTTTGTGCTTGTAGCATTTGTCAAAACCTTTCGTTTGATATGCAACATGCCCATGTTATGACCGGAAAAAAGCGGAGAATCGTCATTTTACACATGAGTGATTTTGTCTGCCATATTCAAACTCTCCTATCTCAAAAACGGTAAAAGAAAGATTAATATAATAATACATTTTCTGTATTTACTCGCAAAAATCTTTTTATTAGTACATACATCTAATGGTTATACGGACTTTGAAAAAATGCTTTAAAAACCGCTAAAGGGCCATAACTCGAGAACGGCTAAAAATCGAATCAAGAACCTAGGGTTTATTTCGAAGCCTTATGGTAGTTCTATAAACGCGATTTGATTGCTTTGTATGCGAAAAAAATCAAAATGTATATCGTAAAATGTGTCACAAAAGACAAAAAAAAACCCGCATTTTTCTGTTAAAATTTTATGCATGTTTAGCTGAAAAAAATCTTATAACTTTCCATCCATGTACAAAAATGTAATTTTTAACTGTTGTACTGGCTTTTTATCTGTCAATGTTGTTTGATGAACGCGATTAGATTACTTTGTCCGACACGCCCCAAGTAAACCATTTACGCCTCGATGCCATTTAATGACTTTTTTTCGTCTTTTGTGATGAGCGGACCAAACTTTGATTAATGAAAAGCTATACATGTATTTAGTAACGAAGGATAAAGAGTTTTTGCTCAAACTAGTTCCGCTATGTATTGTAAATCTAGACTAAGCGACGCCGGTACTTCAAGGTCGCTGCGTTTGAAAGGATAATAATTTGTTTTCATCATTTGTGTTGGTCGATAATGAAAAGCTATATTAAGTAACAAAGGATAAAGGGTTTTTGTTCACCATATTTCCGCTAGGTATTGTGAATCTAGACTAAGTTGCGACTGTTCTAATGCCTTTTTCTTTCATTGATACCCGCGTGTGTGTGGGGGGCTGATTGTAAAATACAGCACTAAAAATAAATCGGCACATGCGCTGTCCACAAGGACGTTACGCTATTACAGTCATTTCCTTACTAGATGTAGGTAGGTAAACAAGTTATATTTTACAAATGTATAAATATTATTTATTTTGAACATATTAAAAAACTATTTGTATTTTTTAATTTATAAATTAGAATGTTAAGCATGTTTCTATTTACAAACTTTTCTTTTATCTGTAATGATGGTAATTATCTCTCCATCTAGGGCCGAGGACCTGACCTACAATGTCTACGATTCAAGCCCTAAATCGAGTATACAAGTCAGCTCCGTATACTTCTGGGAGATTAAAAATATATTTCTAAAAAAACTGATGATCACATTCTAAAATAAAAATAGAACAATGATGTTATTCTAACTATAGAATCCAATTTGGCGCCGAGCATGCGCAGTCATGGCCCTAAACCGGCGCCAATACTATTGCCACCTTGATTTATTTACTCACAGTGACAATATACTTTAATAGTTATCATTCTAATTGCCGTCGTAGTATATATAAATTACCTTTACAAAAATGCCAAACTTTCTTGACGCGTATATGCACTATTTGTTGAATTTAACAGCCTTTCATTTTGTTACGTCTTTCAAAATAAGTTAGATTAAAACGTCAACTTACCGGAATTTTCACAAACGTTGAAAAAAACAAAAACAAAACAAAACATAAATGAATAAACCAACGTATATAATTTTATATAGATAAAATAGAGACTGATAAGTATTATCTGCTTCGATCTAATCTATTTAAAACATAAGGCGTTTGAAATTCTACACTTAAAGTGTGTGTGGACATGAAACGGTACAATGATGACGTTAATTTCTTTGCAAAATGTTTGTATTATATATGTACCAGATTGCTTTCGTTTGTATATAACATAAAATTTGAAATCAATATAAGCTACCTCGATGTCCTTAGTGTGTGATTCCTAGTAAGTGGTTTCGGCGGTATCGGCGGTTTCGGTGCTTTCGGTGGTTTTAACGGCCTTTAATATAATGTTTTAATCAGAATTATATTTTAGATAATAATAAAACATTTATGTTTTGAAGTTATGAAAGAGATAATTGAACACTAGGAGCACACTTTTCTAATACAATGTACCAGTGTTGTTGCAACCGAATGTGAACGTTATCATAACAATTATTCATTTCAAAATGTAAAAAATAAATATAAACAAGAAGACCATCATGGCCCTGAGTCGCTCACCAGAAATAACTGCTTTTCAGTGTTGGAAATTATCCATTGCCATTACTTTCTATATCAATAATAAACATAAAATATCTATTGTTTTAACAATAATTTGATTAAATGCCATGACATGGGGGATTTAACGGGGCCAATCAAATTAATATCAGCAATCTTGATAAAAGACTACCTAAGAATGCTACAAAGTTTGATGGTCATGTATCAATTATCTTAGTAGAAAATGATGTTCAAAGGTTTTTACTAGTTTTAACTTTAGTGGCCCCTAAAATGGCCTAATCAAATTATTACAAGCAATGAAAGAGTACCGAAGAATGCATTTGGTTCTGGTGAGCTAAAAATAAACTTATTAAATTAATACAGATATTAATTTAAATATTATTAATCGATTTTAAATCAAAAATTCATCATTTATTGTAAGTATTTATTAATTCAATATATTTGAAATTTGACTTTGTTTATATTTTAAAGCGACCGTATTATAAACAGTTTTGAAACACAACAAACAGTAAGTTTATCCCAACCTGATGGTTTCTGCTGTCTGGTTTTTGGAATCATATGCCTTTGAAACCGATTCATCTGTTAGGAAAAAAACAACAACGCAAATATGTCATAAAAACAATCTTACATCGTTAATATAGAAATATATTTAAATCCTTTTTACGGAGTCAATGACTTTAAAACATCAAAACTTTCTCTGTTAGGATAATTATGTAAAATCATTAAAGTAAGACACTAAACAATAAGAAAGTCCACAATATAAGAAATGGAAATATATTTTTTTAAGTGAAGGAACTTACATTACTTATAAATTATAAAATTATAAGTATAAAACCTGAATTTGTTTGTTCACATTTCGTTGTCATGGGTTGTGTTGGTAATGGCTGTTGAATACGAAATGTATATATTAGATAATAATTTAGAAAAAAAAAACAAAAACAATACAGTTTATCTAATAGAAAATGATTACATTACTTTATTTTGAAAGGATATATATCATATAAAATCAAGATATTATTTACAATTGAAATATTACTAAATGATAGAAAACACTAAAGGATAATGTGTAATGCTTCTATTGCCTGTTTGGTCCGAAATATACGTTCGAAATGCTTCTTCTTTGTCCCAAATTCCATTCTTGCTAGTTGGTCTAAATGATCTTCCTGATGATAATCCATATCCGCCTGCCAAAATTTGATTGACTTTAAATTGTTAAACCATTATGAAATTGTTTAAAACATTTGCATTGTCAAAATGGACTCTGAGTCTAATAGGTAGTTTTCCCTCATCTGTTATTCGAAAAATGATGCGCATGCTCGAAGTCAATGGTTGTTAAAACTTTTTAATTGTAAAATAGATAAATACAGAATCCCTAAAGAAAGCCCAACACGGCAAAATTGAAAATGTTGCAGGCTCGGTTTGATTGAGCCTGTTCATTGACGGTACTGGAAAGTGCAAGTTACCGTCCACGCCCCCTAGCACCGGCTTAAGCAGAATTCAACATTTAACATGAACTGGTAAAATTTAGAATTTTGAAACATCCGCAGATGTGGATAAAATCAAAGAAACAGGAGTGATTATAGACTGTTGGATTATCAATAAATACTTTTTTGTTGATTTTAAGTTGTTTCAAAATTGAATGCTATTAATTATCATGAGTGAAACTCGTTCAAATTTAGGAAAAAGGAAGCGAGAGAATATCCCGATGGGATAAGTCCACTATACAAAGTATAAAAAGTGGCTGATAGTGAAGATTGCAGTGTAATAGAACGTTTTATGAAATAATAGAAGTACTTTTAACAAGCTGACTTAGAAGCTTATCTAAAATCACTATAATCTGTTTCTGGCTTGGAGTAAAATGAAACGGTCAATAAATGTGACATCACGATAATTGCTACTAATTTATTGTTGCACACAGGGAAACAACCGTGTGACGGATCTCTGCTCCGGTCAGTGATATATCAAGCAAAGTGAAAATAACTGACGCTAGCCGATGGAAGGAATACTTTAAAAACCCCGTTATTGAAAACTGTTTTAAATTTGACAATATTGAGCAAAAGATCGAGGTACTCCATACAAAGATGAATCCTGAAATTAAAATACAAACGTGTGTATGAATTACGGGAAATAACTCACAACAAACGTTACTTTACCGTCGGAATTGCAAATGATAATTAATACCGTGTAATTGGAAAGGGACGCATCGTAAAGAAAACGTCAGTCGACCCCATATCAATAGGACCCATTGTATAAGCCAGCTTCCGTTTTATCGAACATTACATTTAATATGTATCCACTTTAAATGTTGATGGTTGGACATAAATGAATACTCATTCCATCAAAAATATTATTGCATATGAAATCTGGCATAATTTGTATAAATAAAACTTATTTAAAAACACATAAAATATTGATCTGTAGGTTACCGATTTTATTAACATAACAACATGTTGACTCCTTTTAATGCAACCAAAGGGGGTGTTGGAATTTCCGTGTTTTTTTGATGATATTATTGTTGATGTTATTGACAAATCATACGATGGAATATTGTTATTCTTGTTCACACCATATCTAATTATTATAAAATCGTCGTCTACTCCATATACTAACCACCTGTAAACTCATCGGGGGGGGGGGGGGATGGCGCGGGGGGTAGTAACGCAACAGACTTTTACGCTCATTTACTCGCACATATTTATATTTATATTTTATCTGACAGGGAAGCTGTTGTCTTTGAGGTGCCATTCATTTAAAGATCCGGGATCTTCAGGACAAAATTTCTGACGCTTTAAATGACCTCTTTGATGAAGATTGAAACTCTTACGTCATATTCAGTTGTGGAAAATCTGTTGTTTGCTAAAATAGTGTCCCACACGACTGTTTTAACGCTTGCTATAACTTTGAAGTTATTTCCCTGCATCAATTCTTTAGTCTAATCGGTGAAACAAAGAAACATTCAGACGATCAAAAGTTACCTATAGACAGCAGAAAGGACTTTGTTCGAAACAGTTGAGTGAGAACCATGTTTATATCTCAGGCACTTTTATTTGAAATAGACATTTGCAAAAACTTGATACATTTGGAACTTTCACTGATATTTAAAGGAAATTGACTTTGTCAATAATGATATTCATTTGTGTAGATTTCTGTATAATAGTCTAAATGGAAAACTTTAAAACTCATTTAAGGCTATTTTGACGGATGCATAGTCTTGTGTAGTTTAGTTAAACGGTATGCTAACGTATACAAGGTGACAGCGGATCACCAACAATTTTGCGTACTTCATAAACAGTATCGCTGAAGGTTTAAAGACGCTTCACAAGGCTGTACAGTTAAATAATGATATACTTTGTTGTTTGTTTTATGCTGATGACATATTATTGTTGTCTCAGAATAAACAGGATATGCAAGACGTGTTAGATAATGTTCATGAATGGTGTCGGAAATGGTGATTTATTATTGATAATGAAAAGTCAAAGGTTGCCCATTTCAGAAATAAGGTAACTTAAGCTTTATTTGTTTTGTTTACGGATATGTATAAATATATTTGTGTCAATTTACAAGGGCACTTCGATGATACTCAAAGTGCCGAAATGTTCTCTTAATCTGGCGACCGAGCAGTAGGTGATTTTAAGTACTTAATTATACAGATGTTTGCTTTGACACATTTACTAAAATGTACTATTCATGTGTTGTTCCTGTAAGAGATTACCCTTCCTCTATTAGGGGCTTTAAATATTATAACAAAATCGATATGACGCAAAACAGAACGTTAAACTGAGCCTGCAATTTCGTGAAAATAATATCATAATGCACATGCTTTTAACATGAAGTTATTAAATACAAATATAACAACATATTTCTTCACTTGATTTTTACTTATCAAAATAAAACAAATTAACACAACATGACATCAACTGCTTATAATAACAGCTCCTTCCATAGGCCAAAATATAAAGCATTCCATAAGAGACGACGCCGCTCACCGGCGTCGCCAATTATATGACTGTGCATAAATTTGCACATATATAAGCAATAAATGGTGATATGGATTGATTTTCCACTAACAACAGACGTTGCATTAACATTTTACTTTTTTGGAATCGACTTGTAAATATGCAGGTCGATAGACGTTCTTAACACATGTTCTCCTAAGACAAGAATTGTTTCGGAAAGAAAACATGGTGCCATGGAATAAAGACTATATTGCAACAAAATCAAATGCCACATTTCTATGAAAACTAGTTACCTGTATTCTAAAAGATGGTGAAGATGCATTGCTTAAAAATAAAACGGATTGGCATAATATTGTTAGAATGTTGCCAAACTTAACACATACGAGGGTTGTCCCAAAAGTCCGTGACAAATTTTATAGACGGTTCATTTTTAACGCCATTAGATAATAATTCACACATATAACAATTAAGTTTAGTATTAAACATTACAACAAATTATTTACAGAAAATTTACTCCAGTTACTTAGAAAAATTCAGTATTAACGACACTGGTTTGAGTTGCAAGTCAAATAATTTGCATTTTGTTATGAATAAGCTAAAATTAATTACGAATATTTCAAATATCTGATGATGTGTCTGCACAATGTGACGTTGACTCTCTCTGCTGCCATGTTAACATCATCTCAATTTTTTTTAGAAACGAACAAGTAACGGATAAATGAAAATATCTCATAAAAAAAGAAAAATTAAAATGGCGTAGTTCGAAGAATTTGCGGCGCAGTGAACAGGTCACTAAGGTTTTGTGACTATTTCGAGATGTCTGCACTACCAAAAGCGAACATAAAGAAAACACGACTCTGAAGACCGATTTACGTCCCCTATTTCCTACAGCTAAAAACAGGTGCAACAAATCCGGAAGTTCGCGTATAGCAAAAACTAATGTTTGCCATCCAAACATTCAACAGACATTAACAAACACTTGATTTAAGTCTGTAATTGACGATGTATTGGTAAAGCTGCATCATTATTGCGTTGAAAGCCATCGAGAATATTTGAGAAAGGCGCTTTATATAGATTTAACGCCGTCCTTGACGTTTGACGTGCACCTCGATTCACATAGTTGCCATTATATTGGCAGCATATTTTTGTTGTTTGTTGATAGTTTTCTATGCAAGTATGTGAAAACGTTTAAATTATATGGGTTTATAACTTATCAAAATATCAAATTCGTACCTATTTTATTTATTATGAAAAATTCTGAAGGATGCTTCGTAACAGCGGTGAAATTTTGAAAATGCCCATGTATAGCGACGTCTGATCACAATTCGGCGCAACGCAATGTGTATCAGTCTGTCTCAAGGTTTCTTGCCTGAAATGGCACAAACGATTTTTTGATGGGTGAACAGAAGAACAGTCCAGATTTTGCATCTGTTTCCTTATTTGAAATACCAATTAGGAGGTCACAGGTTCGAAAGCACTTTAGCGAACTCAGCCATGAAATTCTACTATTGTGGAGTACATTGAAGCAAGACTATTTTGGATACGTTTCCGATAAATGGGTCGCCCGACATCGAAAGTGCTTCGCGAAACACGGAGAATGCTTTGAAAAACATTAAAAAAAATTCATGTCGTCATGAAGTTTATGACAGCGTGCGCCAGTTATATATAGATAGCATTCTTTAGATTTTGATAGCTCGGTCAACTTCGGAGGTATTTTGTATCAATTTCTATTTCGAATAGACTTTTCCTTTGCTGGATTATTCTATAGTGTTAAAATTGTTGTGTAACAGATTTTCTCTACGATATTTTGGAACAACCCTCGCAGATAAGAATTAAATGTGTAAAATCAGCATATAAATAAATAAACGAAAGAAATAGACACACAAATATGATACATTTTGCACAAGATATGTACAAAGATGCCTTAGGCTAATGAAATACAAGAACTGAACTGTAAGCTATTTAATATTTTGTAAATGTAATAATTATCGTCTCAAATAATTTATAACTTTATTATAATATATAATACATTAGGAACATGTTATATTTAATCAGGAATATTTCGGTAATCACTCTTTAAAGCCAATATACGTACCCATTTTTAAATTCCAAGGACATGATACCATATCTTGTGATTCATGTGTTATCGCACTTGAATTTCTTTAATCCAGGGGTAAGCAAGGAATTTACTAATTCCAAGATAAGAAAGGAAATTATTTATCATTTTGTAAAACGCTAGTACTATTATTTAAGGCGCACGTGGTTTATCTTCGTACTAAACATGTATATAATAGATTTCCCATTGTAACAAAGTACTGGTTAAAAATGATAGAAAATGAAATATACAGCTCAAAACAGTATATAAGCAGGTTTAAGATTTTCTATAAAAAAATTTTAATGTTTAAAAGCTATTGAATGATACATTGGTATGTGTATTTGATAGCTTTTCTTTAATATGTATTATATGATTGAGATGTCGTATAATCGGATTCATTGTGAACAAAATGGCATAGTACTATCGAACGTATTTCTTATTTATATACATAAACCGTGATATAATAATACGTAGCTCTGAGCTAATTATTTTGATGACTTAGATTCTGTTTTCGTATAGTAAGAATAAGGTCCTTGAGAATAAAAACGGGCATTATATTAATTTTACAAAGGGAATTGTAATTATTCATACGTTTAAAATCATTATCCATTTCATTTGAATATACGTTTGATTTGCAGAAAATCAAATTAAAAAACTAGTATGTTTATGAATTGGTCAAAATAGTCAACACAAATTAATTCAAATTATCCAAATTTTTGATAAAGGCATATATATAATTATCGTTTAGATATGTAATTTATCAGAGATAACCAGCAATGACTTTGTATTGTAAATATTGTTATCATTGGCTTGGGACTAATATCAATTAATAAAGTGTCATTACCATTGCGATTAAATGAGTGTGTTTGGACTCAATTAAATGTACGTCAACAATCTATTTACTCCCTTACTAGAAGTTTATTAGTAGATTCCTTTCAGGACCCTCAATATCGATCTAAAACGATGGTGAAAACTTAAAATAACGGAAAAAACGAAACTTCACAGGAAACATGTAGAATGTACGATGATGAAAAAATGAAAACATCATAGTTATCAAGTTTCCATTATCGTGCTTTTGTTGTTTTTTCATCGTCATCCCTTCGTTGTTTTGATATTTCCGTCTTTTCACCATTGTAATATCGGCTTTTCGAGGTTATCCGTTAGTGTAACGATAGTTTTAACTGGCGCTTTATGTACAAAGACAAAACTTTTAAAGGCTAAACAAGACTACAGGGTTAAGCAAAAACACCTGAGATGGGTTGACCAATACTTAAACAGAATTCAATCAGTAATTGTTATTTTCACCATGCAAACATTTGCTAGTAACGGGTGGAAGAAACGGATACAAAGCGAACTTTTTGACTAACAACACGACGAATATGATGCACACGTGGATTGATCAAAACAGGTCATGAACCAAACAAGGACGACCCTTATTTACTCCCCAGAGCTGAGTTACTGTGACGGAAGCATGGGTATGAATGCAACTTACCAAATCAGATGAGGGCGAAACGGCAAATGATTTAATAAATTATATGCAGTATTGACAAATCATTTGCGAACCCATCGCAGTGACATTTGCATATCGTTACATTCGATTCAACTGTTCTTTTTACAATTTACGTTTATAACAGTTAACAAATTAGCAGTATGGATTTAAAGTATTTGAGGTGTCCAAATATAACCTTATTTTCGACGTTGCTGTACATCAGCAGACCGTTTTCACCGCATATAGCTCTCAACGAATATCAATTGTCTGGGAGTTTTATTCGTAGACACCTAACAACAGCTGTAACGCATATAGCTCCAAACAAATGTGAGCTAAATATTAAGTTAGTTGAGGTGTATCTGTTTTTATACACATATATTTTCTTTTTAATCACAGATCATCATCATCATCCTCGTCATAATCATAATCATCATCATCATCATCAATAGCAGCCAATCATCAACATTATAGTCATCGTGTTAGCGTGAGCTATTAGTATCCAAAAGGGATACAATATGTCGTCAACTATCTTCTCTTGTCTGAAACTACTGAGCAGATTTACTTCAAATTTGGTCTGTAGCATCCTTGTGACAGTCACACTTGAATTTGCTCATGTCATTCCAATTGGCCCCTTTTAGGGGTCAGCAGAGGTACAAATAGAAAAATCTTTAAAATCTTCTTCTACAGAACTAATGGATGGATGATCACCAAACTTTGTCTGTAGCATTCTTGATTAGTCTTTTATCAAGTTTGCTCGACATATGAATTTGATTGGCTCCTTTAAGGGGCCGCTAATAAAAGGGGCCGCTAAAGCTTAAAATAGAAAAAGCCTTTGATCGTCTTTTTCTACAGAACTAATACATTGATGATCACCAAACTGTGTATGTAGCATTCTTATGTAGTCATTTATCAAGTTTGCTAATATTGATTTGATTGGCCACTTTTAGGGGTCTCTAGAGCTAAAAATAGACAAACCTTTAAACATCTTCTACTACAAAACTAATCAATGGATGATCACCAAACTTTGTCTGTAGCATTCTTGAGTAGTGTTTTATCAAGTTTGCTCATATTCATTTGATTGGTCACTGTTTGGGGCTGCTCAAGCTAAAAATAGAAATACCGATAACTGTCTATTTCTAGAGAACTAATTGATGGATTATCACCAAACTTTGTCTGTAACATTCTTGGGTAGTCTTTTATCAAGTTTGCTAATATTATATTGATTAGCCAATTTTAGGGGTCTCTATGGCTAAAAATAGAAAAAAAACCTTTAAAATCTTCTCCTAAAGAACAGAACTGATGGATGGATGATCATCAAACTTTGTCGGTAGCATTCTAGGTTAGTGTTTGATTATGTTTGTTCATATTTGATTGGCCCCTTTTAGGGACCGCTTAATCTCAAAAATATTTAATACCTTTAAATGTCTATTTCTTCAGAACTAATGGATGGATGATCACCAAACTTTGTCTGAAGCATTGTCGGGTAGTCTTTTATCACGTTTTAGGGGCCTCTAAAATTAAAAATAGATATACATTTAAACGTCTATTGCTACAGAACTAATAGATGGATGATACCCAAACTTTGTATGTTGCATTATTGGGTAGTCTTTTATCAAGTTTGCTCATATTAAGTTGATTGGCCCCTTTGAGGCGCCGCTGAAATTAAAAACACAAAATCGTTTAAACCTCCTCTCCTACAGAACTAATCAATTGATGATCACCAAACTTTGTCTGTAGCATTCTTGGGTACTCTTTTACTAAGTTTGCTTATATTAATTTGATTAGCCCCTTTTAGGGGCCACTAAAGCTAAAAATAGAAAAGACCTTCGAACATTATTTCCTACTGAAATAATTGATAGATGATCACCAAACTTTGTAGCATTCTGAGGTAGTCTTTTATCAAGTTTGCTCATATTAATTTAATTAGCCCCATTTAAGCTAAAGCCTAAATACCCCTGGTCATGGCATTTCCTCAAATAGTTTTAACATATTCTATTTAAACATATTCTATGCCCAAATTTAATATTATAATATATTGACGTTCCAACAATGAAAAGCAGTTATTTCTGGTGAGAGACATAGGGTCATCATGGCCCTCTTGTTTACATTATTATCGAAAATACCAATCAATCATCATAATCATTATCATCAACATCAGCAGCAGTGGTAGCAATACCTCCACCATCATCATCATAATCGTCTACATCAACAACAACAATAGCGACGGCAACAAAACAGTCGAATCTGAAGCATCATCATTGTTAACACCAGTAGCAGCGGTATAAATACATCTGCATTATTAAAACCACCAGTATATTATTATCATCAGCATAATTATCATCTTAGTTTTTAGAAAATATGATTCAGAGAAAGGCCAGGTTGCATTTGTGTACCAAATATAACGAGGTTGTGATGTTACGAAAATTGTCTACCAATGACCATAAATGTCGAACATTTAACTAAGTCAGTAAACAGGAGGTGGATGACCTGTAGACCTGAAATCCTGTTAATGCTGTGTACAAAATATCAAGAGACTGTGATAAAAAGTTGCAGAGAAAAATGTTATGAAAATTTCCAACCATTGACAATTAATGTTGAAAATTAAACTAAGTCGGTAAACATGAAAGGGATGAGCGACATATTGAATCCCACGGTATGGGTCCACGCGTTAATGCTGTATCCATTATATCAATATGTTTAATTGGTTGCTGAGATAACTGTTAATAAATATTTTTCCCAACCGCCGGCCACCCGACATTCACAATTCTTGAACCCGTGCTACCCATCATGAAATAAGTAAAAGACTATTACTCTGACAAAAATCATTGAACAGGAAAATTCTGACGTTATGCACAACTGAAGACTTGGTACTGATCATTCTTGTAATGTTTGGATGAAACTGCAACAGTAGTTTTTAGGCGATGTCCGGTTAAGTTTTGTGACGGACGGACGGACTGTCTGACGGACGACGGAGACGTGACCCCATAATGTCAACACTACTTCGTACTCCGTACAGGCGACACAAAAATGATATTGAAAATTAAAACCCAATCCATGAAGGCAGAATAGGTGGGCTTTTCCACAGGTTTGCATGATATATAATTAGCAAAACTAACAGAACAAAATCATTTAAATAGAAAATATTGATAAAGAACAATAAAATAGTCAGATCAATCTTACTTCTTCTTTGATGATTTCTACAAAATTATTTGGAAAGACACCTGTTCGACCATTCAATTCCCCCTTCCACCATCCATTATCTAAACATTTATCTACAATATTTATAGTCTCCCCTTCAAGCAGAGTAAGTTCATCCTCATATTCAGCCGGATACGAGAACCGAACAATTGCCTTCTCCATTGCCTTTGTTTCTGTAACAAAATAAAAAATTCCACTGTAGATCATTTATAATTTTAATATATACATTATTGTGTACGTTATTTATTTTATATAAATCACAGTTACCATATGTTTGATATGTTAAAATTGCTGTATATCCTGTAAATAATTTGCACAACAGATTTGGTGTTGGGTTTAACATTGTAATAACACAAACGTTGACTTTCCAGCTTAAATTATGAAGGACGACCTCAATTGCCCCCCCCCCCCTCTGTGAATCATTTTAGGTACAAGCAGGCATTTGAGTAGAACCACCATTATCTTCCTCAGATGAAAAAATCCCTAATCCCTGGCGGAATTTAAATCTTCAGCGGCAAGTAATTTGAAGCCAATAACTTTTTACTAGCAGGTATCATTATTTAAAGAGATATCATCACAAACAAAAATCATTTTCAGAAAAAACAAAACAAACAATATAAAAGCATGTATAAAATACTAAAAATGGAAAATAAAATGTACCGCATGGAAATAAAAATAAATAGTTAAATATCATGGAGTCACATAAAGTGATTCATTGTTTAAGAGGACGGATACTATAAACCAAAGGATATTATGTATTAGATCAAATCGTGACCTACCTTTAACTTACAGGTAAGTCTTGCTTAATCTATCAATTAAATATATAAACTGTGCTGTACATGTATACATTATCATAATGGCTCAAATATAACTGTTTACCCTGCTAAACTTGTGTATTTGAGTTGTCCTGCTTTCAACTGGGACAATCCAATAATAGTATTAAGCAGTCATAAGGAAACAATTGTGTGACAACAGATATATATGCTTGCTGACATTGTACAGGCAGTACTGGCGTGTTGTTTCTTTTATAAATTCACAAAACATTCAAATATATTTTTAATTTATAAAGATTTTTTTGGGACACGGACACGGAGTTAATTGTTTGTAACTGTTGAAGAGCAAAACTTTTAATCCATCCAAGAAGCTTCAAAAACGTGATTTCGAATCATGACAAAACTGCATGATTTTACAGAATGCTTAACGTGTACATAAAGTCAGGAGGGTATACACATCTGAGCAATAGACAAGACACTATCCACTTTGATAGGATTCACAATTTAAACAGTTATATATTATATTTAATTCTAAACAATGAGCAACCCCAGTTTTACACCACGACAAGTCTTGTCCATAAATTTAAACATGGTAATGGAGAAACATTAAACAAAACAGCATGCATATATATTCAAATAATAATTCTTTATTAACCATGAGAGAGTCAAGACAACAATCACAACATAAAACTGTGCAAATTAACTATATAAATTCGTACAAAAACAAATCCAACAAGATCACACTGAAATAAATTCATAATTATACAATTTGTACTTTTGAAACATGTCAGATTGTTTTGTTTCCTAGTAAATATGGACATTTCATAATAAATGATCAACTGGAAATGATTTCACTGTCACGACATTTATGTCTACTTCAGCTACAGTGTTCGTGCATTGCTGATATATTTCAGTCATACTCATTTCTTACTTAACTCGTGTTGAATTGACCATTAAGAGTTCGTGCAGAGCTTTAATTACATGACAGTTCAACCATGACCCACCAGGTAAGAGTCAGGCCATACAAGCTTACACCTTCAGCATAGTTTTTTGATATGAAATCACTTAAGAAAAGTTATGAACAATGTTTAATCTAAAACAAGAAACGTTCATTACCAAAATTCAGTTTTGTAAGATTCAAAATGTTTCTAAATTCAAAATTTCACCATTTTCGTGTTTAATATTGAATTCTGCTTACGCCAGTGCTAGGGGGTGTGGACGGTATCTTGCACTTTCCAGTATTTTCCATGAACAGGCTCTTACCAGTACCTTCCATGAACAGGCTCAATCAAACCGAACCTTATGTTTAAGCTTTTATTAGGGATTTTGTTTTTCTCTGTTTCGTACAAGTTTTAATTCTACAGTTTAAACAAATAAAGACAATATTCCTAGTGATTTGCTCGAACCTTTAATCATCATCCAGGGAGTGGATCTTGCTGCGATATGTTTTAACTGCATGAAAGCTTGTGGCAAGGATGACTTGCCAGTGCAACAAAACTGACCTTCAAAGACTCGCTAGCAGCATGATCAAACTTATCCTACTGACAATCTTTGCATTTTCAGCATTTTAATACTTAAACCCCTAAAAAATAAATAGCAATTATAGACAGTTCCATATTCAGGACATGTTAAGTCCGTTATAGTAATTAAGAAGTGTAAGGAAAGTGGAGTATCAATCAAAGCCTGAGAAAATGATTTCAATTATTAAAGTCATAAGCTTAGAATATATATCTTAATTTTTAGTATTGTGTACATACATTCTTGAAACACTTCTCCTAATAAAAAATGCATTGTTGCCAGATATCATGACTCTGGACATAGGTATAAAGTACAAAAAATAATTTGATAAATGACTTGGGTAATCAGTGCTCTTTCACAATATGTTTTAATTTTAATTCAACAATGAAATGGAGCTGTGTTTTGAACGTATGAATTACCATGTAAACTGTTAAAACATTAAATTCCTTATTAGATAAGTAATGAATGAATGATAATTTTTTTTGGTAAAAAAAAATTATATTTCTTATAAAAAACATATTTCCTCATTAACATCCCTTTAATCCATGACTCAATTGACATTGTGTTTGTTTTCTTTCCAAAGCTTATACATAATCAAAATACGTATTTCCCCAAATGATCATTCACTAAAATAATAGTTTTATATATATTTGAAAGTTTTAATGATCAAAAGTGCAGAGTGACCTTCGAATTCTATTCAAATGGAACCAAATCATCACACCACCTCGCCAGAGGAAACAAAATAAATAAAAAAGAATAAATATATAATAGAAAATATCGTTCAAATAAACGTAACGACTAGAAAAATATCACCTTAAAAACGAAGACTGTACTTTAAGACATTCCGTATTTTTGTCAAATATACGATACACTGCTAATGTACGGATTCTTGTTTTTAAAAAATCGCATTTAAGACCATTACGGACTTTTTCTTTTAAGCCCGTATATGAATGAAAAACAGAGTTTTTGAAATATACGCAAAAATATCGTATAACTTTAGAATACGGATATTCGTATATCACAAAATACAGATTCAATTTTTAAAATGATTTGTAATGCTCTAATTGTGCTGCATTCTTAAACAGTGTCAGTACCAAAACGAGACAATAAAAAAAGGTAAATGTCTTGTTTATTATAGTGTCACCCCTACTGAAAGCGCCAGCCATTTTTCACTTGTGAGACACCTCATCATGCAATGAACTATGGGGCTCGCACATTCGACCTCCTGATCCGAAGGCTGACGCCTTAACCGCTAGGCCAACGGTACCGGACAATTGGTGTATTAAAAGAGCACCGCTAGGCGGAGCATTATATGCCCGAAAGTGATTTTTTAGTGAAGATGAAGCATTTGTAAGACATGAGAATTAAATAAAGTATTACTTCCTTAAAATAACAATCCTCCTTAGAAGTTTCAATATTGTGGTCCAAATGGAACTAAAGTTATGCCCTAGAAACTGTTTTCAATTCTAAGGTAATATTGACCTTGACTTTGTCACCCCAAAATCAATCGGGGTTTTCTACCCACTATGGACAATCATCCTATGAAGTTTGAATATTGTGGGCTAAATGGAAATTAAGTTATGTTCAAGAAACTGTTTTCAATTTCTAAGTAATAGTGACCTTGACATTTGACCTTGTGACCCCAAAATCAATAGGGATATTCTACCCAATATGGACAATCATCCTATGAAGTTTGAACACTGTGTGCCAAAAAGAACTTTAATTATGCTCTGGAAACTGTTTTTAGTTTTAAGTTTATAGTGACCTTGACCTTTGACTTTATTACCCCAAAATCAAATGGGGTCTTCTTCCCAATATGAACAATAATCCTATGAAGTTTGAACACTGTGGACCAAATGGAACTTAAGTTATGCTCTGGAAACTGTTTTCAGTTTTAAGGTAATAGTTACCTTGACCTTTGACCTTGTGACCCCGAAATCAATAGGGGTCTTCTACCCAATATGGACAATCATCCTATGAAGTTTGAACACTGTGGGCCAAATGGAAATTAAGTTATGCTCTGGAAACTGTTTTCAGTTTAAGGTCATAGTGACCTTGACCTTTTACGTTATGACCCCAAAATCAATAGGGGTCTTCAACCCAATATGGACAATCATTCTATGAAGTTTGAACACTGTAGGCCAAATGGAACTTAAGTTATGCTCAAGAAACTGTTTTCAATTTCTAAGTAATTGTGACCTTGTGACCCAAAAATCAATAAGGGTCTTTTACCCAATATGGACAATCATCCTATGAAGTTTGAACTCTGTGGGCCAAATGACACCTAAGTTATGCTCCAGAAACTGTTTTCAGTTTTAAGGTCAAAGTGACCTTGACCTTTGACCTTATGACCCCAAACTCAATAGGGGTCTTTTACCAAATATGGACAATCATCCAATGAAGTTTGAACATTGTATGCAAAATGGAACCTAAGTTATGCTCAAGAAACTGTTTTCAGTTTTAAGGTCATAGTGGCCTTGACATTTAACCTTCTGACCCCAAAATCAATAGGGGTCTTCTACCCAATATGGACAATCATTCTATGAAATTTGAACACTGTAGGCTAAATGGAACTTAAGTTATGCTCCGGAAACTGTTTTCAGTTTTAAGGTCATAGTGGCCTTGACCTTTAACCTTCTGACCCCAAAATCAATAGGGGTCTTTTACCCAATATAACCATTTACCAATTGAAGTTTGAACACTGTTGGCCAAATGGAACCTAAGTTTTGCTCCAGAAACTGTTTTCAGTTCTAAGGTAATAGTGACCTTGACCTTTGACCTTGTGACCCCAAAATCAATAGGGGTCTTCTACCCAATATGGACAATCATCCTATGAAGTTTGAATATTGTGGGCCAAATGCTACTCAAGTTATGTTCCGGAAACCAAATTGCTTACGGACGGACAGACGGACGGACGGAAGCTCTCACAGGACAGTTATTATGTTGCTTCTCTATTGTTCTCTCTATTGTTCTTTTTAGCCACACAAAAGAAAATAGTCACATAAAAGCATAACGGAATGAATGACATCAAAGAGATAGAACAGTTCCCTATTGTCCCTCTAGCCACATAATTACTCTCCTGTGAGTGCGGACGGACAGACGGACGGACGCCAGGGAGTTTACCATATTATGTCAGAAATTCTTTCGGGCATATAAAAAAAAACAAACGCACTATTGCCGAACAGATATAACTACTGCAAATAGTAGACTGAAGGAAATGTATATGGAGATACGCCATTTTTCACAATATATTTACGCCTGTATGATACACTAACCATATCGAAAATGTCCCTAACATGTTGGGCACATTGTTGTCATCTGTGGCACTATGAGCAAAAAAAATATATATGATTAAAATGATTGGACCCAGGTATGAAAGAGAGCAAGTCATAGATTTGGCATGATTATCTTATGTTTATCCTTGACACGACAATCAATCTAACTACACTGCTACGACTCGTAAAATCAGGCAGGCCATAACACTTACAGAGTGTTTGTGGTAATGTTAAACAAAACATGAACACGCATACACGCACACGCAAACACATTTGTGCTTCTTTAAATAACCAAATAAATTTTGTTGGTTATTCAGGATCGATACTTTTGATTTGAATATCTTAAGCCGTATATAAAGTTATAAGAAACACTGTACGGCGACTTTGAAGTAAAATTTTCTTTTCTTTAATGTTATAACTACAATTTCTAATATTTCAAACTAAACTAGTTGGCGTACAATTTAAACAAATGAATGTTCTAATTAAGTTAAGTATTAACAGTGTTTTCCTGTTATCGTTGTTTAAACTATCGTATGTTTTCAAGAAATATTTTGACGAAAACAGTATGAAAAAGGATTTCATTAAATGAAAAAAAAATCAATTACATGCACATAACATTTTGTAAACGTTTATCTCAAAAATATCTATGACTTCTTCCTGAACGCATGAGTTTGAATATAAATATTGACCATGTTGTCCTGTTATTGCGGCTTAAATCGGTAAAACGTCATGTATCTTTAACAAATAAATAGAGTAAAACAGTATATGAAAAGGAATGCAAAAATATATAAAAATCAATGAATACACCTTGTTACATACCTTGTGTGTTTTGTCGAGTTAAAAGTCATTTACATCTGTCTCTTCTTCTTGTTTCAATGTGAGTTTCAACAATCTATTAAGACGATAAGTATCATAAATCACAACATCACCGTATGGAACGTGTCACAGTATCGCGCTTTCCGGTCACAGTATAGAATATTAAGATCGATGATAATTTGTGAGAAAGACAATGTGATTTTTATCTCTATCAAAACAAAAATAAATTTCTGAAAGACGTGTTCGTGATTTGATTATAAGGAACTGGCATCTAGTCATATTTTTCATCAGACCCTGCATCGCAGTATTATTTCTATTTTGGCTCTTAATGTCCAGATTTCAAAGTTTATAAAATCGAATAGAGCGACGATTAATATTTTTCTTCCAGTTAGACATTATGAAAGCGTAACTGTATAATAAAACTTACAAAATTTTAATTATTTGTGTTTAGAAAAGATAACAATAGGTCAAGACTTGAACCTATTTTCCTTTACGTCAAACGCCTGTAAAAAAACAACAACAAACAAAAACTTTTTACAGTATAAACCAAGCGATATAGAGATTAAACTGCGGTGAAGGGTCTGGAGAAATACATAACTAGATGGTGGATAAAGTTCCTTACAAGCGACGCACAAAACAATTTTAAGAAACCTGTTGTTGTACGGGCCAAAATAAAAGTAAACCTACATCTTTAAAATTATATACTGTAACCGGAAAGCGTTCAACTGAAACTTGTTCCCTACGGTGATCACTCTACATAACAAATAAAGGTCAGATGCATATAGATTATGCGTGTTTAATCGTTAACATGTATATACTCTATATGTTATTGATAACAGCAAGTTTTTCTGGGTCAAATATTATCTCTGTTATTTTGAAATATATACAATAACATTTAAGTTTAATTTTATTTAATACACTACTTTAATTGCATATCCCTGTATTTAAAGTGACAATGTCATTTACCTTTTGTATACCGTCATATTCATTGTCAAATGTTAAATTAATCATAATTATGATTAAATTAAAATTGATAACAAGGCTAACTGCAAAATCCTAGCTCCGCTTAAAACGATCTTTTTTTCTCTTATTTATATTTTTCTAAATACAATTTGTATGTTTTAGTAATCCTTCTTCTTTCTCTCTCGCACTACACCAACTATTACATACGATGTAGACGCCATATTTAATAAAACATGCGAAAGGTTTAATATATGCAAAAGGTTCTACGAACAAGGTCCTGACTTTAACTAGTCAAAGTTTCTATATATTCAGTTATATTTAGTATAGCAGCCATTCATCCTGATAGAAACGTGTGTTACCATTTACGGTTGACTTCAATCAACTTGACATTCATTGTTGTGAGATGACATAATGCTTGAAGGGTCGCAATCGGTCTTCTTCCGCCAGTAAAATAGGAAAGTCGCCGTACCATATTGCCAGTGTCGATTTATTTCAAGGCCAAGTAAACACAGTAGTGGCACTTGCTTGCACTTGAATACTTCTTGATGCATACTCCCCCGCAATACTCGGTATATCACCTTCACTGACATTTTCCTCCCTAGCATCGCATACACCCTTTTGTTTAGAATGATATGTGCCAAATCACTTGTTTTTTATGGCCCAATTAATAGGTTGAGTGTTTTGTTACCATTTATTACCTTTGTAGCAAACTTTGGGTGTATATTGCTGTAATGTAAAACGTGATCGTTTTTTTTTTCTCGGGGACCATATGCCACTTTTCATGGAATGTCACTTACGTGACACATTGAAGGTTCCATATGAACACATATGCGGATGTTTCAAAATTCCAAATTGTACCAGTTCGTGTTAAATGTTGAATTTCGCTTAAGCCGGTGCTAAGGGGCGTGGACAGTAGTTTGCACTTGACAGTACCTTCCATGAAAGGCTCATTCAAACCGAGTCTGCATCATTTTCAATCAATTTTGCCGTCTTTTGGCTTTTTTTCGGGATTCTTATTTTATCTATTTTAAAGCGCGGGAAGATATGAAAATTTATGATATTAAATAGATATATATCAGTTTATTCATTGACATCTTGTGAAGCATCTAGTCGTTCTAAATGCAATATAATTAAATCTTAAAACAATGGCTAGCTATAGATCTTCTTATTAATGTCAATAGTTATCATGAAGCATACACGTAATAAAAAAGATAATAAAGATGCTTCCTCTGTGGAAGTCTTGATGGGCATATCGGACGTAGATCACATAGAGCCATCTGTTGGAAATTGTTGTCGTAAACTTTCGTAAAACAGTTCCCATTCCCACATCCATATTATATTTATTGCCTTTCTCGCCGAAATAGTTTGCATTGATCCAGGCTTGGCCATGTTAAGCTTGTGAAATCATTTTTATGACGCCTTTGAGCGATTCTCTTTCATTTGAACAATCCTCTACTACAAACAGACATTTTACTACAATTTAACAAACCGTTAAAAGTTGTCCCTCATTTGATGAAAATTTAATGTTAAATTGTTGACAGGGTCAATCAATTATCAACGTTAAAAATTGACCCCGGTTCAGTTCTCAACATTAGAAAACTCACCAACGAGATCAATTTTAACGGGGTCAAACTTTAATGTTGCATCGGCTTATCTAATTTTTAACAAGCAAATTAGTAGTCAGCTGCCTTCACAGAAGGCTTATGGTTATATTTTATCTATACACATCAATCATCAAATATAAATGCCATAAATCTTATGTCTTTCTTTCCAAATCATATAGGTGTGTTACGCTCGTGCTGACGGACGGTATTTCAAACGGAAAGGTGAAGTACACAGTGGTAGGTTCATGAGATATGGTAAGAAAATATTATGTTTAGCTAAGAATTTGAAAACAACAACATGTAGAGCAAAACCAAATAAAATGAAATAACATTGCAAGTATATCGAGTTGCCAAACAAAGACAATGATATTTTGGATTCATGCTTTATCATCGAAACGAGAAAGACAGTATTTTGTAATATTTAAATTTATATTCACGTCCATGGAAAGTCTGAAACTGTGGAACATAATATGTTCAAACAATAATTATCTTCTGATATTTTTATTAAAGATTTATGTCATTTGCATGTTATACTCGTATATTTACATATATACTAGTATGCAACTAATTAGGTTAACATTTTCTCTATATATATGTATTTATATGTACGATACTACTGATATTCGGTGCCTTACATTACCGCATTGGCCAGCGATCCATCTTTTTCTGTATGGGCTGCAAAATTGTTTTGCATTGTACATCTTGAATATCTTATTTTATTTAATTAACAGTTGCTTAAAATGATTCAACTGATTTACATTTGATAATGATTTGACATGTATATTTGTAAAATCATAACATTTTTTTTGTAAAATTTTATTAAATGTCCTATCTTTTCAGTTTCACCGAAGGGAAGTGATGTCATGCCTCCTTGTTGTATGTCATGTGAGCTTATTAGCAGTCCATATACCTGCACAAATTTTGTACAATGCAATGATGAAAATGGGGTTTGTTTGGAACATCTCTTGCGACTAAGGACATTTCTTTGTAATACAAAGCTAAGGTCATTTTGGACAGTTTTGTACCATTTTGTTTATGATAATTGCATTTATTTCTTTTCAGATGTTTAACTTATGTCAATATCTGAATAGATTTGATAAACAACAAACAACAGAAAGGCTAAAAGACAGGTTTAACAAGATAATTATTAAACATCAGTATTGTAGATGTCAAATTAAAAAAAAAGTAAATAAAATAAAATCACATCTCTATAAAGAATAATATGAACACAGAATCGAACTCACAAAAGTGATGCTTTAGTGCATCTTAATTCGTGTAAAGTTGTTTGTAGATGAAGACTTATTAAAAGCTTTCTATGGTCAGAGGAATGTTTCTTGGATGTGTAGAACTCTTAGATTTAGTGCATCTTAATTCGTGTAGAGTTGTCTGTACTCATTTCCTCCTTTATTACAAACATTGTACAAACAAAATTTTGACTATCTGTAAGGAGTAGCTCATCCCCCATATTTCTGAGTGCTTGGTACTGTCCTGCTTTTTCAATAAGCATATTGAAAACCTTTCGCTTGCCTTTACCGAAAAATCCGCTTGTTGTATCACATCCTGTAATGCAATACAAAGGCAGAATGATGTTTCATTTTTCTTCTGTGAGCTGTTTAGGAATTTGATGAAATGGGAAGAATCGTCTGAAGTCTGTATGTACAGTTACTCTTCCCATATACATATAAATGTGCCACACCTAAGTGTCTGAAATGATGCAACAATAGTACCAATACATCTGTATCGGGGGAATGGACTGCAATGCATTTAGAACCATGGTCTGCCTCATAATTTGCATGAAGAATCATTATGGTGTCTGTATGCATTTATTGCCAATAAACGTTGAAACATTGCTGCCCCGTTAATGGTTTTTGCTTTTCGTTGTTTTGGTGTGTTTTGTACAGTTTTGTTTGTCATTGTTTTTATTTTACTTCTTTTCATGCTGGTAAAAAAAATTTCGTTGGCGGATCTGAACAATCGCATTTTGCAATCAGTCTTTCAGATACAAAAGATTCAAGCATTTCATAACCCTTTTCAAAGCATTGAGACGTTGAATCCTCTCCTTCCCAACACTCCTGTAGCAAAATTAACAAGCTTCTTAGGTGCATTGGCAAGATCAAATGGTTCATTATAACGGCTTGTAAATAGGTTTGTCATCTCCAAAACAGTTTTATTATACTGTTCTCTTTTTGATTTTGTATCAGTATGATGCTTTTTGGTATCATTATCCGTTTTATCATGAAGGCTATTATGGAATGTCATTGAATAACGAGATGTTAATGGTCTTGCCAGAAACCAACGGGCAAGGGCATTTTCTCTTAAAGTCAGTCCAATTATTCCACCTGTACCTTTAAGTGCTTTATTTTGTGTCACTTCAAGTGTGTAGTCTAGCCACACATTATTGAAATTTCCTTTTGACAATTTAGCTGTGTAAAGACCTTCTTTAAAACCCTATTCTACATCTTTAGGAAGCCTGTTCATTGACAAAATTTAATATGTCATGTACTTTGCATAGGTTGAACGATTCGATGCAAAAATAGGAAGTATTAACTGTATTTTTGAATGTTGGTGAATTGTCCAGTCAGATGACCTCGTTGATGAAATGAGGTGTTTCAGGGAAGTAAACACCTTTGAGAGATAGTCGTCCCATACTTTAAAAGTAGCAGACATTTTGCGACCTTCATCTTGAAATTCGTTTAGCACTATGAGCAAATGATTTTCAATGGTTTCACAGAAACTCTGTATCTTCGATTGAGGATAAGAATCACAATCAATTTTTCTCAGACTCCTCAACATAGATGCTTCATTAGGATTTAAGATTTTGTTATTGTTA